AGGAGATAACCCTAATTATGTTTGTCTATATATATTAATCTCATTGTACTTGTAAACATTGTAGCACCTAAATAAAGAAAAACCTAGTTGCCCCCGTGGACTAGCACGATCAATCTGATCGTGTGAACCACGTAAATTCTTGTGTTCTTCTCTTGTTTTTGGGTTGTGCGTATTGCGTGTGTAACGTTTGACCTAACACATGTTATATTTGTCATTTTATTCTTAATGTTCAACAATTTTTCTCCTTCTAAAATTTAAAAGACCCGCACTACGTAATTTTGGGTAAACTGACTACTGGAAAAAAGTAATACCTGAAAGTGTACTAATATAATTGAGATAGAAATAAATGACAATTTTGACATACAGAGTAAGACAAAGAGATGAAAGAAAAGACTCTAGTAACATCTGAAATTAAAGTACATTCTATAAAATATTGACTTGATTATGTGGAAAGTTTTGACTATGATTTTAGGCTGTTAAGTAAGAATGAGAATATTAATCACAACTTTGTGGAAAGTTTTGACCATGAATTTAGGCTGTATATTAGGAAGCTTAGAATTGTATTAAGCAAAGTAGTTTAGCCATATTCCTTGTAATATTGATCTCAATAAGTTAGGAGATTGGCATACCATGCTAGCTAGCTTTTTTGTCTTATGAACCATGTATTTGTGTTGATAAAGAATATATGAAAAGATATTGGTTTCTGTTCCTTATCATAGCAGTCTTAACTTTCATGGCTGAAATAGCCAGAGATAGCATGAACTACCTTGAATGGCAATTAATGGGAGGGGTGAATTTGAGTATGTAGCAAGAGATGTTACACAACCCAAAAAAGGAGATCAAATTCAAAAACATGGAGTTCAGGAAGCTCACTTGTCTATGCTTCATGATTCGGCTCCACAAAACCAGCCATAGGTAAACTATATCTCTTCCTGCAACTGCAAAGGATGTTTGGCAACCCATTCAGGCAACATATTCGACTCTTCCCAAATATTTGGGTTGAAAAGTAAGTTATGCAATTCTAAACAAGATGAACATAAGGTTACTATCTATTATAGCGAAATGGTTCATCGGTGGCAAGAGATAGATCAATGTTACAGTGATGAGTGGAATGTACAAAAAATTAAGAAAAAAGGAGAAAAAAGATTGAGTGCATCTCTTCTTTGTTGATTGAATAAAGGCTTTGATGAGGTTAGGTCAAGCTCTGTTCTCTCTTCGTGAGGCCTTTTCTGAAAGAAGAATAGAGGAAAGTAGGAGGAAGGTTATGTTGAAAGCAGATCTAAAACCTTTTGATGATATAAAAGATGTTGCTCTTGTTTAGGGGAAATGAGCATGATATTGACTAGAGGAGAAGACCTCTGGTATGACCATTGAAAAGGCACTGGCATAGTGGCATACAAGAGAGACCTGCTGAAAAATCATGGGAAACCCACAAACTGGGAAAAGGTGGGTTCGACAATTGTGCCTTCCATGCTTCGGTTGATGACCAGGGGAAACAACTAAATCACCTGTCCATAAAAAGTTAATCTTCACGAACCTGTGTTATTTCATTTTTTTTACCACAGGTCTAAAGCTCACCTTGTTTTCCGCCTTATAAGTCTTAAGTCAGAGAGGACCCTTTATCCACCAGCTTTGCCTTAAGAGGAGCTAAAAAGTCATCAGTTTCAATGTATAAGCTCACTTACGTCCAACATGATAGTTCCTAGGAGGAAGATCATCAAGGTGCCAAGTCTCATTCTACTTGAGAACAAACCTTTCTTCTTTCATAACTAACTTCTCAGGCCTGGATGAGCCTTAATTGCACCATGCTGAAAATAGTTATGGACAAATGGTGAGGAAATCATAGGATGGGGAACATTAGCAAGAACACAAGGCATTTCAACCATGAGTTTTGGACCCAAGTATCAAGATCACAGCAGTATCTGGATTGAACTGTGCAAACACTATGATCTGATCAAACCATGAGAGAGTTGGTCGCTTCTGGCAACTTTCTCTTCTCAAAATAATCTTTCTGTTTGTGTCATTATGCATCTCAATTCCACCAGAATCTCAACCAACGGAGAAAAAATAATTTAAATCCTGTCAAACAATAAAACCTGCACCAAATCTGTTAAGAATATAGAACTACACGCTCCTTCACAATCAATCAACTGTGGCAAATACATAAAGGCCAACAAAACCCCCTCAAGCTGACAACTAGAAAGCTGGGCATAAATTAAGTGGTCTAATATCCCAACAGAAACCATTTTTGTTCAACACGAAAGCATGATAATTGACTTGAATCAAACTGCAGGGGTACATATAATCGGAAGATTGAGCAATCCAAGCCTGTGGAGTTCAGACAGAAAGTCACCGGTGAATAATGACAGTGTGCATAAGATCAAAAAATACTCTTAAAATAGGTGTATACCAAACCAAACAAGCCTAATATATCCTACCACGAGGTAGGTGGGGTCTTGGGGTTTGTGCATAGTGTGGAAAAATATTGCGAAGAAGTAACATAAAACGAACGAGCGAAAAAAGAACTTGAAAACAAGAAAGGCAGTGCTGAGATTTGAAAAACCGAGTTAGAAATAAGCAACCAAAAATCACAGACAAACAAAGAAAACATTCAAACTGAAGCAAATACACAAAAATGTAACCAAGGAAAGAAGGTCCAGACGCCCCTAGTCAAACCTTGGATTTAGGGGGTCTAACTCACTAACCTACGCACACCTTCTACCTCTCTAGATCCCTTCCTCCCATCTTGGGGAGCTACACAAACCCCAACTTTATTATGCTACCCTAATGTTGCGTCTCCGAGAACTCCTATAAGAGGTCATGTCTTAGGAAATACCTAAAACCACCGTGTCTAAACTCAACTGCTCATCCGAAGTCCTCACTCTCTCGGCTGTTACAATTTATACCCTCCTCACCAGAACCGCCCTCTTAAAATATAAGTGTAAAAATACTAACATCTCATATATCTAGCTGTGTATAGTTCCACATTGAAGAACTTCTTGAAGATTACTTCATTCATAAGTTCATGATGCTTTGTAGTCCCAAAGATTTATCATAAACATATACTTTATGCTTTTAGTTTTCATGATGCTTTTTGGTCACAGATTACTTTGTCTTTCAGGAAGTCATAGTATCTGAACTATGTTCTCTGAATGGTTTCTGTAAGTTCCCACCGACTGTAACACCCAAGATGAATCTGTACTCTGCTGAGTTGATTATGAACACGCATGGAACAACTCGACTACCAGTTGTTTCAGAGTATGCTGCAGACCAGAGAGCCCTTCCAGTTGGCATTTTAGACAGAGAATGTATCAATATAGCTTGCAGGTTTGCCATCCAACTTGGTACTCCATGCTGATGTTTGCTTGTGAACTGCTGCTAAAATGTTGCAATGGACTTAAGTGCATTACCATGCTTTTTCTGAAGTTAACATGCTGTTTGCAGCTCCCTGTAACTCATGTTGGTACAAATTTAAAGTATGATATAGGCAGTATTATATTATAATATTGTGAAGTTTAGCTGCAAATTGCAAATCCCTTTAGGATACACTGGCCATAGAGGATGCATTTTATTGAACTTCACTAGCTATTTGGTAGACACCAGGTACATAGCAGTATGTTAGTTCTAATAGAGAAGTAATATGGAGTTCAATTCATCAAGCATGCAAGAGATTACAGGCATGTTAAGAACTTTGTCATATAATGTGATTCTTGTCAAGGATTTGGCAGCTGCATTGATGCCTTTGGTCATTGACAATCATCCCGTTATAAATTCTCCTTTTTGTCATGGTGCAGGGCTTTGGCAACTAGAGAACGCCTTGTTTGGTTTTCCACTCTGAACAATCCCAGAACTTGATTTGATGGAGGTATGTCATCATCTGGCATCACGACTGTACAAGTGTACATTGTATTTTTCTTCCTATTATTTGGCCATGAGAAACCGACAAAGGTTTGTGCTTTTTACTTGATGGCTAGAGATGCTTCAAAGTCTTGAGGCTGATACTGAATTTGTACCGATTTCCAAGTAACTGTCAGGAGAATTTTTTGTGTAGACTTGACTGTGTTTAGAACGAAAACAAAGGGGTTTAATATTTCCAGACAATCTTTTATATATATTCATAAAAAACATTTTAAGAAAAAGACTTGCAATGCAAGGGGATTTTAAGAATACCAGGGGCAGTTTGTTTCCTTTCCTACTTCAAGGCAATTCTAACACATTTTCTCTAGCAACCTTACTTTCATAAATTTTCTTATTATAGTATTGTACTTTCATTTTTTTATTACAACAATGTACTTTCGGATTATATTTTATTGGGGACATTGTACTTTAAACAATTTACCCATTAGAGTAATGGGTAATCTATTGAGTTCTTTTAGCAGGTTATTATGTAATGTCCGATCGATTGCATAAAGCCCGCAGTAGCAGCGTCTCGATAATCTCGGTCTTCCGGTAAATGATCAACGTAATGTGGTGTATAAGCGGAATTAGGTGTAGCTATATTACAAGCTTATGTTTTTACGATCTTAGCCTTTTTCTCCTAGGTGCTCATTTTATCACGAGCCTTCACTGCCCCGTTCTGTAACTTACCTTCTTTCTCCCGTCCACTAAAAAGGATATGTCAGTGACCTAGCACGGAAGAGGAAAAACCGAATATTTCACATTAGGTGGTCCCGCGGAGCTCTCGGAAAAGGGTCGGTTGTCCCTTACACTTGCTCCGCTAAAAAAAATCCGTTAAGTCATGCCTCTTGATCATTTTACATTTTTCTTTCGTCCTCTTAAAAAACTACACTTGTTTGGCACCTGATCCCGGCTAAACTACCCGTAAAGGGCAAGGGGATTGTGTTATGATTGTGACCAGAAAAACAGTGTCGTCCATCATTGCTTATAATGTGAATCCAATAGCGTATCATTTGATTGAAACTGGTGCATCTAATGTGGGAATTGGATTTTGATGCAAAATAATCACTCCATTGCTTATTTTAGTAAAATGTCAGGACCCGAATTGCATGCAATGTCCACTTACATCAAAGAGTTGCATCCATTTTGGAGGTTGTTTAGAAATGGTGACAATATCTTCTTGGCCGTTTCTTTGTTATTCGAACTGCTCACTAGAGCATTAAGGAACTCTTTCAATAGGTCTTAGATACACTGGATCAACAAGTTTATATTCAGAAATTACTTGGCTACTTTTGAATTGAGTACGAACGTGGATGTTCTAACTTAGATGTAGAGGCATTCTCTAGGGTGGTTGTCAAGACACTTACTTTCAGAACAGATAATGTTGTTTTTTGCCTACCGTTAATCAGTCGGCCTTCAAGTGATCTCCTGGACACCCGCTATCAATAATTAGCAGTTGGAACCTTAGAATCTGATTACTTTGTGGTGTTGATTTGTTTTTGTCACTGCTATATTGTTAGTCTGAACTCGTCTCTGAAAACTACTTTGCTTCATGTGTTTCATGTGAAACCTCTCGTCGGTCATGTCAGGGTCAACCGAATGCTTATTTGTCTCGTTATATTTTATTGGCCTCAAATGCATAAAGATGTCGAAAAATGTGTGGTTGATGCCTGCAAAACAAACACTCCACACAACCTCCAGTGAGTTTACTTCAGCCATTGTCGATTCCTTAGTTGGTGTGGGATGAAATAACAATGGGTTCATTATGGGGCCCTCTGCCGTCACATGGGTTTACTAGCATATCGTGTGGTGGTCGATATTTTGACCAAGTTAGCACCATTTTGGCCCTTTTCCCGCCAAGTTTACAGCCAGGAAAACAGCTGAATTGTTTGCCAACATGGTGGTGAAACTTTCATAGTTTTCCCAATTCAATTGTTTTGAACTGTAATCCCATTTCTTGAGCGAGTTTTGGCAGAAGCACTTTGCATTAAGTGGGACCTCGTTACATCACATACCACTGCAAGCCAACGGTCAATCGGAGCAAGTCAGACGTCAGATTGAACAATACCTAACAGTCTGTTTGGTTTTCAAGATTGCTTTTTAGGTATTTGAATTTGGAATAGATTTGAAATAATTGTGTGTTTGGTTTGCAGGATTTGGAATGGAATTGGATTCCATTAATTATAAATAATTTATAAAAAGGTTATAAATAATTAAACTACATTTGTATTAATTGATTATTACAAAACAAATGTTTTTAACATTTTTTAGAACCTTGTTTTATACAATCTTACAAAATTATGTGAAATCTTGAGCACTACCTAGTGTCTTGTTTAGTTTGCAAGAATAAAATAAATTTGAGGGATTTGAATTTCAAATCCATTCCAATTCTATGTTTGGTTTGGTGGATTGTCCGGATTTTAAATCCTTGGATTTAATTGAAATCCTACAAACATTGGACTTTGAAATCCTTAGGGAATGCTTGAGATTTCGTAAAATTGTATGAAATAAGGTTTTAGAAAATGTTACAAACATTTGTTTTGTTAATAATCGATTAATAAAAATATAATTTAATTATTTTTATAATTTTTTAATAAATTATTTATAAATAATAGAATCCAATTTCATCTCAAATCTTACAAACCAAACACACCAGTGATTTCAAATCCATTTCAATCGAAATCCCTCTAAATACAAATCTCTTAAAAACAATCCTACAAACCAAACGGACCCTAAAGATTTCAAAATCCTACGTTTGTAGGATTTCAAACCCGAACAAACCAAATATGGGATTGAAGTGGATTTGGAATTCAAATGCCCCAATCTCTAGCTATCACAGTGGACTGAAAATATCTCCATTTCAGGCTTTATATAGTCGGCCTCCCCTTTCTATTCTAGCATAAGTAGCTTTCTTTACTTCAATCTAAGTTCTTGATGACTCCTTATTGGGAGGTGATCATTTATTGCGCATGACCCAAAAGGCCAATGCTCATCGTCAATAATTGCAGTTAAATGTTGTTACACATATTCTATTCGGTTGAATATCAAAGGATCAGTTAGTATGGACTTGGACATGCAACTATGTGATTTGATGATGCCTTAGCATATACCTCATTTATTTTGTTCATCTTTGATGATAGATTGTGAGGTTTATATCCAGATGAATTTTTTTTCTCCTCTATTCTTTTATATATTCTCGAGCTAACACTGCTCCTCATTTCACTCTCTAGGTGTATCACACCAACGCCACAATTGTCTTTACACTCCATATATCAAAGATATTTGATAGGGAGAAAACCAATCGGAACTTGAAGTTTATCAAAGAAGAACATGACTTGATTTAGAAATTGTGAAAGATGTGGCAATAAAAATATCAGAGTTTTCATGGGATTCGTTGTTGACTTCTATTCGTTCTTCTTCCCCTCATAATAACATAACTTCAATTTGGCACCGACAAGAAGAAGAGACAAAAAGAGGAAACTATAAAAATAAGGGTAGATTGATATTTAATGTTGTGTAAGCATGTCATACATGTCTTTCACGATATTTTAATTATGACAAGCAAGAGGGAGAAACCGATTTAAAATCATAATGGGTAAGAGTTTTCAAAATACATTTCTTGATAAAAACTAATTTAAAGGTATATTGTTGTCGTAAAAAGGTAAATTGAGAGATGGGGATGAAGAACATAAACTTGAAGAATCGGTCATTTCTTTTTTTCATGAAACAGGAAAGTGCAAAATCTCTCTATGGAATGGAATAGAATGAATAACTAGAATGATCAACTCTAATTCTAAGTCCATGTCACCTATTTATAGGTGACATTTACAAGATAAACCCATTTGCCCTTGAGTCTAATTACAATGATATTACAATACAATACAAAGTAAATGACTTTATAAAACTTTCAAATACTTAGGACCATTTTAGTCCTAACAATCTCCCCCCAATGTTTATAAAGTAAGCATCTCTTGAAAACTTCAAGTCTTCTCCCTCTGCTTTCTTTAAGAAAATTTTGGTGTGTCCGGCATGTGTGAAATCTTCGAGTTCCCTATGAATAAAGCTCTTATTCTTCAATACCAACTTTAAGATAAGTTTCAATGTGAGTTCAACACCACTGATTGCATAAAATATAGCTATAACTATAGACAACTCAACATAGTCCATAATCTCAAAATCATTGTTGGCTCACAAGCAACTAATTCATCCAACTTTGTGGATAGAAAATATTGTGAGTTTTGACACAATGTAAACAGTCTTATGACAAAGAATTTTTCAGAGAACCACGAGTTGAATAAGCATTCAGCTTAAGAACTTAATCTTGGTAAGTTCACAAAAATTGGGGTAACAACATCAGCCTGAAGAACCAAAGCAAACACCTTTGACATTGAGAACCAGAGAGAAATATCAACGATAAGTACATAGCTTCAAGAATAGCAAGTTAACCTATACAGATAAGCCAATTTCCTTCAAACTTTCAGAAGACTGAATAACCAGAATCATATCCAAAATTCCCAGCCAAAAGAGTGATTATGAGCACTCAGAACTCTAAATCACAACCATAACATCAGAAAATGATTGTAGACTATCAAACCTCTAATTGATCTAGTTAGAAGAATGAATGAGAACACTCAACACTTGATCTATGAAAGGCAAGGAGAAATGGTCTTTATGGGTTGCTTTGTTGACTTCCTATAATCCATGCATATTCTCCATCTTGACACTATCCTAGTTGGGATTAGTTCATTCTTCTCATTTTCTATTACAGTCATACCTCCTTTCTTAAGCACACACTAGACATGACTTACCCAAGAGCTACTAGCTATGGGGTAAATAATGCCAGCATCTATCCATTTCAAAATCTTTTTCTTAACCACTTCTTTCATCACACGATTCAATCTCCTTTGAGGTTAAATAGAAGTAAAGTCCTTGTCTTCCAAAATGATTTTGTGTTGACAAATAGATGGACTTATGTAACATCCAACTTACTAAAAGTCCATTTATGTTGTTAAACATGTTTAACTAAGTCAAAAAAGTATATTATGGGTTTGTGCTTATTTATGTTAGTTGAAAAGTGAAAATGATAAAAGTGCACACAAAAAAAATGTCTAAGTGTGCACTATAGGGCCATATAGGGGAACCCATGTTCTTGTAGTAAATAAGTGAAAAATATCGAAATTAGATTGGAATATGAACTTCTAGATCGAATTAGAGGCTGAAATTTTATACTTAAGCTTCTTATAGATTAATTAAAAAATATGGAAAGTTTCGTGCGAATCGGAGTTGAAACGACCAAGATACGCATGAGGGACTAAATCTGCCAACTGTGTCAAACTAGGTTGACTTGTTGACCAAATTAGTACAAAAACGAGATTTTGACTCTTTAATGGTATTTTACACTCCAGAACCTTCACATACACTAGAAGGTGCGATTTTCACATAGTATTCTCCTCAAAGCTCAAAATCAAGGAGATTTAACAAGATTTTTGGTGAAATTAAAGGATTAAGCAAAAGTACAACACTATCTTGAACCTATTTCATGATTTGTTTGGTGTTTTGTTAAGAATATGAGAAGTCTAGGGTTTCATGTGGTTGGGATTTTTGGTATTTTCATGTTATAAAATGGTTGTATAACATGATATTGATGTTAGATGGTGATTAGTTTATGTTTTCTTGCTATTACCGTATAATCGGATCTATGATAGGTATGGATTTTAATAAATAAGTGTATTTCTTGTTAGAATATGGTAATGTATCATGTTTATATTGGTAAAGATGAATAAATTCAAGTAATTTATTCTTTTATAAACTTATGATCAAAATGTGCAAGTATTGAAACATATGGTACAACTCATGGATATAGGTTATGGAATGAGAAATTATGCAAGATTTCATGAAGTTTTGCTAAAAATAGTTAAAATATGTTAGTTTACGTTGAAAATATGAAATTTGGAGCTGTATGGGCTTTTAGAACATGCAAAAATGAAGATTTTCGAGTGAAATGACTATGTAAATGCGCATACTTTAAAATTTTGTATAAAATCGTAAGAAAATCCAAATGACATAAGGTCAGTTGAATTGGTTAGATATGCGAGTCTAGTTTATTTGGTATTTTGAGGTCATGGCATGAAAATGGGTCTAAGATATGCAAAACAGGTCTGCAAGTGACCTTGGTGCATAAAGAAGTCAATCTAGGATAGTCAAAGTTTGTGTAGCCATAACTTGGAAATGCTTTATTGTTTGCTTATGAAATTTGAAATGTGCACTCCAGGGGTATTAAAAAGGATATCTGGATCTTGGCATGGGCTAATTCCATTTTTGGGTCGGAAATGGAAATTTCCGCGTCGGTTTGAATCATATCGAAACATAGTGAGTTTATATCGAACGCGTACTTATGTGTAATATACATATATTATTTTTCTTCTGTTTGTTAGATAAATTTGCATGTGTTATTGAATATCTTGAGTGTGTCGAGTCCCATGGTCTTGAATTGGTATTTGTTGTTCATTCCGAGATGTCGATCGAGTCTAGATCCGAGACCTTTTTTTTGTCTATAGGTAAACCATGATCTACGTGTATTACATTGTGTGATATGTCGTAGCATGGTGTATGTCCACATATCCCAAGGAAAGAGAGGTTGGGTGTGGCATACCGGTTGTCGTACTCACGTATCCCGAATGGTAAGGAGTCGAGTGTGAGTAATTTGCACGGGCCCAGTAGATGAAGAAGGGGTGTGGTGCACATATTTACTCTACTCTTGTTGATCATGCTACTGAATTATTATGATCGATATGGTTTCATTGACGCTAAGTACTTTGTGAGTTGTATGGCTTCTTGATACGTTGATTTGATCCGGTACCGAAATCATACATGTAACCCGTTGATTCCAATTTTTAATTACAAATTTGTAAGGTATGTTATGTACTCATTTATGGTTTAATTACGAATCAGTAAGTTTTCATTTGACATATTAAGGATCAGTGAGTCGTTATGGTTTTGTTAATTTTATACGTGTTATGTTTCAGCAAAATTTGAAAGCTAGAGATTAATCAGTTTTGCCTCCTAATTCTTTTGTTAAGATATGTATATTACATCTAATTTTATGCTTTGATATATGCTCACTAAGCGATTCGCTTACCCTCTTAAGTTTAAAAATCTCAGGAAGAATCGATACGGGTCGAGATAAAGGCAATGAAGGTTAGCTTTCGGTTGACACATAGAAGATTTGGAAGTAACTTTTGGTACAGGTTTCGTAGGTTTTTGATGTTTCGAGTTGGTAATTATTACTCGTATGTTGGGTAGTTATACTATTGTCCCAACTTTTGGTTTGTAAAAGTCTTAGTTTGTAAGTTGTTTAAACTATTTTCAAATGATGTTTGACTTATCGGTCAAACTAAACTTAACTTTTGGTGGATAATTAGAAATTGTATCCCGTCTTGGTTTTGGGTGAATTTTTTTTTTTTGATCGGTTAAATATTCCTGAATTTTTTTTTTATTTATTTTAGTGTAATCGTGATGTTACAACTTATATCCTTCAAATCAGAGATGGTCCAACCTATTGCTTTGGTACGGGATTGAAGCATTTTTACTAGTTGTTCTTGTTTTTTTTTTCCCTTCTAGTGATGATTAAATGATCACAGGTAGCTTGTTATCTTCTCCCAAAAATGCATACTTAAGGTGGGCAGGTAGTTGCTTCAATTCTAAGTCTGGTGGGGATTCTGTGGATGGCAATGGGTTCTGTTTAGATTCATCTTCTAACAGCTCATATGTTGCAGCTTGTTGCAACATCTCATCACTACCTTCTAAATCACTATCCTCATCACCACTATCTTTAGATGATTCACTCTTTTCACCTAGGATTTTCTCCAAAGCTTCCTCATGACACCATGACTCTATAACACCAACCCCAAAACAGTCCTCTTTCTCCTCAATATATTTCACAGAGTTAAAAACATTAAAAGTGACATTTTGGTCCTGCACTCTCATGGTCAACTCTCCTTTTTAGACATCAATAAGGGTCATACTAGTGGCTAGAAAGGGTCTTCCTAACAGAATAGGGGTGTCTTTATCTGCCTCAAAGTCAAGGATTATAAAATCAGCAATGAATATGAATTTGTCCACTTGTACTAACACATCCTCTATCTTGCCTTTGAGAAATGCTATGGATTTATCAACCAATTATAAGGTAATATTGGTTGGCCTAGTCTCTCCTATCCCTAAGGTATTAAACACTTAAAAGGGCATAAGATTGATGTTAGCACCTAAATCACACAAGGCTTTTCCAACATGTTTCCCACCTATTAAACAATGAATTATGAAACTTCCAAGGTCTTTAATCTTGTGGGGAGTTTTTTTGACGAGAGGGCACTACATCATTCAATAAGGGCCACGGTCTCATATTCAATCAATTTCTTTTTCTTACTCAAGATATCTTTCAGAAATTTGGCATAACTTGGCATAATCTCGGTTGCCTCCACCAATGGAATATTTATGTGCAATTGTTTGAATACATCTAAGAACTTTTTGAACTGAACTTCCTCCTTCTGGTTTCTTAACCTCTGTGGGTAAGGAACATAGGGTTGAACTGGTTTAATCACTGGTTTCTTAATATTTTTTACAGTAGGCACAATAGGGGTACTATCTGCTGGTTTGGATGGTGGTGTATCAACATGGTCTTTAGGTGGTGGACCTTTGACAACACTATCTGGACTTGACTTTATGGTTGTTGGTTCTGTTTCACTAGGAAAAAAACAATGTTTGGCATGGGTACAGATCCTTGGTTTTCTGCAGGTTTAGAAACAACAGGGGGGTTGCTGCAGCAACAGGTGGTATTGCTGTAGCAATTGGTTCAGATTCTTCAGTGTCCCTTTTTGGAATTTCTACTAGATCTTTTACACTTGTTAAGGGCACAACTTTTACATGTTCTTTGGTCAGTATCTTAGGGATCTCAGTGTCACTAGGTAAAGTTCCAACAGGTCTGTTCCTCAACTCTAGTGTTATTTGACCAATCTCTGTTTCCAAAGTCCTAATGTTAGCATTTTGATGATTCATTGCTGAGTTGGTTTGATTTATAAAACTTTTCAACAATGCCTCCAATGAGTTATATGAATCATCTTGCTGGTTTGACTTGGTTTGAAAATTAGACTAATGTTGAAAATGAGCAGGTTGACTTTAAGAAACATTTGGTTGAAAACCTTGTCTTTGCTCTTTTACAATTGATGGGTTTAAACATGGAATATTCCAAAAAGAAATTAGGATGGTTTTTCCAACTTGAGTTGTAGGTGTTTGAAAATTGGGCATGTCTATTGTGCACAAAATTCACAGATTCAGAGTTAAGCCTATATTGGGCAAAAGTATGACCTTCACCACAATACACACATTAAACAGGTAAAGCTTCAGAAATAACTACAGTAGCAACAGTATTAGCAGCAGGGACAACCAAGTTTTTCAACAAGTTGGTCATTGTTGTTAGTTGTGCTGTAAGAGTAGTATAATGATCTATTTTATGAATTCATGTCTTCTTTTGGGGCACTATTGCTCTAGGATCTGCCCAATGACCATTGTTGTTAGAAATTTTCTCCAAAACCATCATTATATGTACTAGAAGTAAAGGCTCATCTTGCAGTAGCATCTAACATTTGTTTGGCAGTGGTATCAATACCATTGTAAAATGTTTTAAGCTATATGTAGTAGGGTATGCCATGACGTGGGCATTTCTTTAGTAATTCATTGTACCTTTCCCAAGTATGAAACACTGCTTCATCATCCATTTGTCTAAAAAGACAAATTTCATTTTTGAACTTGGCACTCCTGGTTGGGGGGAAATATTTTTTAAAAAACTTCTTAGTCATCTCATTCCATGTGGTGACTGAGTCTGGTGGCAAAGAGTTGTACCACACTTTGGCTTTGTCTCTTAATGAAAAAGAAAATAATTTCAGCCTTAAGGCTTCATCAAAAATTCCATTAAGATGGACATAATTAATGACATCCATAGAAGATCTAGGATGCAAATGAGGATCCTCAGATGGTAATCCAACATATTGACCATTTGTTTGTAACATGTGAAACATGATGGGCATAAATTCAAAGTGGTCACCATTAATAGTGGGCCTTCATATTCCAGGATGTAATTGATTTAACATTGGAATAGTATAGTCCATGATGCCAACAATCCTTGAATTTGCAAGCTTAATAACCTCCTCCTCAGGAATTAGTATTGGATCAGGTTCGACTTGAGCCATTTCAGGAGTAGCTAGAATAGACAACAAATTTCTTTGTACCCTTTTTCTTCTTCTAAAGGTTCTTTCAATGTCCGGATCTAACTCAAAAATAGTCCCATGAGGTATCCTTTGCATAAACCACTAAAAATAAACACTCAAGGGTAGAAAAATCAAATTTTAAGTAACTTAAAGAAAAACTCTTTTTGGCTAAAAATTCCCGGCAGCGACGCCAAAAACTTGGTGTCTGGATAACTATACCCTCAAAAGCTATAATAAAAAGTAAATCATGCAAGTATACATGGCTTACAAGTATCGTGCAATGGAAGTAATAATGGTAAGTAAAACCAAATATTGTTTTAAGGAAGTGCAGATTAGACCATATGTTGGAAGTCCATTTGGTGATGCATCAATCTCAAACTAGTACAAATCTTGCCTTTCTTTTCATATGGTTTTGCAACCCATATGTTGGAAGTGCACTTGGCGTTGTCTTAATTTTAAGTCCAACTCATTTGAATAAAATAACATGTGTCAATTTGTCAAAAATTACTAGATGAAATATTAATACCATTGTGATTAACAAAATAAATTGCTATTAGCAAAACAACCATCGACTAACACTTGGCGTAATTTCACAACCTTCACTTACACCCAAACTAAGGTATTTAGTCTAGCATAACTGAATGTAAGTGCTTAAAAGTAAACGACATAAATGGAAATGACTGAACGTAAATGATGTAAAAGTAATTTATGCACAAAAAGTAAAGATAAAGCTGGAAAGGTTATTGTAGCAACTGACAGTGACGAAAAACACTTAAAAGTACTTGCAAAAATGATATTAAAAACTAACAAGGACCCCAAGGCTTAGATGAAGCTTTGTTCTTGATGACAAAGTAATATTGTTCAAAATATTAAAAACGTTACTACTAAACAAAAGACTACTCCCTTATATATACTAGCAAGAGGGAATCAAAAGTATTAGTGGGTAATACCCATTGGTTATTAACCAATGGGTAAGAAAAGATGCCTTAGTACATATCTTTGCGATGACATCTTCCATTTAAATCGCCTGCTATCAGTACTAGAAGATGTCATCCTCCAAAACTTGACTTTTCAATAAATTCATCGAGATTGAGCTAGGTGTGCCAATATCCAGTGTCCAGTGCTGCAGCAACATATACACCTGCTATGGCAATGCTTATTGCTCAAGGATTAATATAATTGTTAAATATTTAATGTTTCAATAACTTATATTATAGCCGGGATATTCTTAAATTGTGACTTTGGTCACAATAACTTTCTGAAAATTTCAGCAAGTTTTTTTGAGATTTATAAAATGCATATTTGATCCGATTTTGGTAATTTTTCTTTATAAAATTACCAAAATGTCCTTACATTTAAATAATCGATATTTCATGCGATGTGAATACTTGGGATTTGTTAATATCATTATTTTATTTATTTAGGTGATTTAAAAATAAGATTTAAATGTCGTAGTAAAAAGAGTTGTTACAAAGTAAATATTACATTAATCATCATTGTTTTTTCCAACCCAATCCCAAAACATAGCAGTTACACGTATGGTTGCACTAGGGTTGAGTTGATAGAGTTAATGATATTTGAACAATCCAACTAAATATTTACGGTTTAGAAATTCTCAACTAAACCGAAACAAAAGTACAACCCAAACTAACGCAAATAGTTTGGGTTGATTGGGTTCTGGGGCTGGTTGGGTTTGTGGGTTGGTCGGGCTAAAACTTTGATATATCATTTTACAATCTAACTGTTAGTTAAATAGTCCAATATGCAAATAAAGCTAACAATTATATGAAAAAACATTAAAAGATTTTTGCATGAGACGGGACAGGACAAAAATAAATAGTCCAATGTTTGGTGTGCCATGAGACAAAAATGAGATGAGACAACATGAGACACAAGTAAGATTGGGTGGGACTATTATTGAGTTGTTTTTGTTCCACAAAAAAAGGTAGAGCAATATGAGACTAAATTTGAGATTACAACATTGCCTTATTATTTGATATCAAAATACAAACCTAATTTAGTTGCATCCTTTTTCTTTTCTTCCACAACCTCCATTCTCGATTCCAGCCTCCATTCTTGAAATGTTAAACTTTTGAAGACGGTGTGACAAATGTAATTTACAATTGTTGTGTTTAAACTTTTTAAATTATGCGTGTTTTTTAAAATTTATAGTATGACAAATGTTATTTATATGTGGTATTGGAATGTTAAAAAAAATATTGATATCATAGATTAAATAATTTAAATATATTTTTGGTTGATTTGTTGTCATTTACAATCATTGTATACATTGAACAAAATTAAGGGATAATATGGTCATTTTAACAGTCTTGTTATGTCCCGTCCTAGTCGTAACAAACATAAGGACAGACGATTAGTCCTGTCCTAACCCGTCCCGTCCTGTATGGCGTACCAAACAAAAGCCAACATTTATATATTTTAGTTAAGAACCTAATAATCATTATTAAATCCATGATATTAAAAGACAAAAAAAAAAAAAAACAAATATACTTTACCATTAAAAAAGTTACAACCGGAATGTAAAAAAAAGTTACAACGTGAGAGAAATGATTTGTCCAACATATGTACCAATCTCTATCCTATAAAAGTCAAACACACTTTATCATAAAAGACGTTACAAATTAGACATTTACAAAAAAAAATCAAAAACTTTGAGACCCCATTTACATTTATCCTCGAAACCCGACACAATTTGTTTTAATCGTTTCTATGAGACTAACCAAGGGAGTGATATTTGATTGTGTTGAAGAGATGGAGACATTGAGTAGTAATGAGAATGAGGATGAGAAAGAGATAATTGAGGTAGAAAATGGAACCCCTTGTGTCACCTTCCCCATTCCCGGCCCAACAATCACACCTATCACCTTCCACATTCCCGGCCCAACAATCACACCTAACCACATTCTTCGACGTCTTCAAACCGCCTTCCCCCCAACACTTTCATTCACCATCTTTTGAGTTAATAAATCTTCGTCACCTTACTAAATTTATGTTAAAAGCTAGGTTCCATTTTTTATTGAAGAAAATAAAAAAAAAACAGAAAATAACAAAAGAAGGCAAAAGAAAAACTAAAATTTAATGGATTAGTAGCAGCAAGTGAAATGTTTTGGATGATCAAAACCAAGCAACGAATAACTGTAGGCATTAAAATCAAGAAAATAAGTTTACTCTTTTTAATTATACATCTAAGCATAAATTACAAAATCTATTGAAAAATTGGGTTGTTTATAATATTACAATTAATGATTTGAATTCGATTCATAGAAGAAAGGACAAATGATGGGGGATGCTCTGTTGTCATGTACAAGTAAATTTGGGGATCATGGGGGATAGGCGCCAATTAGATCACAGACAAATCCTTTTTGCCGCTTCCAGCGACCCTTCCCGTTCCTCCAATTCCCCCCACCCATTTTCCTTTTAACGATTCCTCCGCCACCCAACTCCGCTAACCGGTGGAGTAGCATCTGGATACAGTGAATGGGGCAGCCACCGGTTTCACCTTCTCTCCCACTCGCTCCACCACCCCCACCCCCACCCCCCTCACGACCACCACCCTTTCTTAGTTCCGCTGTTACTGGCGGTTGCCAAGTTCGTTGCGCCGGTTGCCGAATGATATTGACGGTCGGTCCCGGCCTGACTGAGTTTGTATGTCCTACATGCCAGTTGCCGCAGATGCTGCCTCCGGAGCTGATGCGTCCCCCTTCACAGGTGCCGGCCCATGGCATCGATCCGAGTAAGATCCAGCTTCCGTGTGCCAACTGCAAGGCCATTCTTAATGTCCCTCATGGTTTATCCCGATTCGCCTGCCCTCAGTGCAAAATGGAACTGGCGGTTGATCTCTCGCGGATTAAGCAGTTCTATCCTCCTCCTCCGGAGGAAGTCAACGAGGTTTTTCTTTAATATACACCTATCCTTCCTTTTCTTCACCTATATCATTATTAGCAAGTTATGTTGTCTCGATATATGCATATCCTTTTCTTCAATTTTGACCTAATTTACTTGTTGCAGTCAGTGTGAGACAACTGATTGAATTTCCTGATTTATTTTTACCCCTTCATATATCGCAAATTGAAATCTCCCACCACACACTATGCAGACTGTTCTCTTCGACTCTTGGAGCACTTTGTTATAGTCTACCACTATATCGTACTGTTGTAGTAAATCTTCTGAAAAGCAAATCAGATACAAACCAAGAGAATGTGTTGACAAGCTACTTACAAGCTAAACATAATTTTGAATGTTCATGCTTTGGAGTATTTGTAACTCAGCTGCTTCTTATGCCCATTTGTACAGGGCATGGGATGGTGTCAGTGAGTTACTAGTTACATTACCAGAACCCTAAGTTAGACAAGGGTTGTGTAGTCTCCGCACATTGTTTTCCCTGTACTTGCTTCTATTTATATTGAGATTGCTTACTTGCATCTAGTTTCTCAAAATTTATCATGTCCGTCTTTATCTGTTTCTATTTATATTGCTATTACTCACTCATATCTAGATTTTCAAAATTTAGCATATTCTGTCTTTCTCCCTTTCACACACTTTTCACTAGTCAAGGTCTTCATGGAAACAACTGCTCTACTCATTAGGGTAGAGGTAGGTTTGCATACATCTTACCCGCACCCCCGGCGACCCACCTCGGGTGGGATATAATGTCCACGTATGATTTGGTTTGGTTTAAAAATGGTCCATGATAGAATAGTATGTCTGTATGTGTTGTCAATTTATCACCCCCTTGGTTCGTTCATCCAGAGCAAAGCAGAGATTTGGCCGGCGCAAGTTGTACTGTATGCAAGTTGAATCATTATGGTTATCATTTCCTTGTCTTCTGAAAGATGGGAACGAATCCCCTATCTATACAGTTTTGCATCCTTATACTTAGAGACACCGGTAACTAGTCAGTAAGGTTGATTTTTAGAAGGATTAAACACAAAACTAATATAGAAAAGTCAATGGCAAGTGTCATGGTTAGTGTTAATTTGATCTTGACTCTTGAAGCATGTATATGTTCTGAAAGAGTATTGTAGGGGAATTTTCATGAAAGGAGGATACTGGAAGTCCACAACCTGTTGTGTGTAATGCATCTGACCTTAAAGATCATAAGAAACAACAGAATGGAGTCACAGTCTTAGCCTAGGTTCCCGATTTCCTAATTTGGGGTTTGTTTTTCCTTCACTCTATGTTTCACTTGTTGAGTTAAACCCTTTCAGGTTGCCATTGAAGTGGAACGAGAAGAAGATGGTGGAGGTGTTGTGGGAGAAACGTTTACGGACTATGTGAGTCGTCATCGTTCTCTTGAACTCTTCTCATGAACTTCTGTGCCTTGGCATGCAAATTTGAATCAGAGACATACTTTACGCGTGTGGTTTCTTATTCTCTGGGATTATATCTATACTTTGTTGAAATGCAGCGCCCACCAAAGCTGTCTATTGGTCCTCCACATCCAGATCCTATTGTGGAAACCTCTTCCTTATCTGCAGTGCAGCCACCTGAACCCACATATGATCTTCGAACGAAGGATTACTTGGAAACTTCAAAAGCATTATCATGCCTGCAGATCGAGACACTAGTTTATGCTTGTCAGGTTGCTTTCTTGACTTAAGTGTGAACTTCTAGTTGTTTTATGCTTGCTGTGCGTTGTACTTTGTTTTCTTCACAGAGACACCTGCAACATCTCGAAAACGGCACCAGAGCAGGATTTTTTCTTGGAGATGGAGCTGGTGTTGGCAAAGGACGCACAATTGCAGGACTAATTTGGGAGAATTGGCACCATGGGAGGAGAAAAGCATTGTAAGATCTTGGTTGGTGGTTGCTTATGCGTGATGTTGTCAGAGTGTTCTTCGACCGATAGACAATGCATGTTCTATTTTTCATTTTGATAATGCAAATTGTGATGATTCTAGGTGGATTTCTGTTGGTTCAGACTTGAAATTTGATGCAAGAAGAGATTTGGATGATGTGGGAGCAACATGTATTGAAGGTATTGATGTAGTTTTGTTTGTTTGAGTGAGCACCATATCCGCCTTTTGTGTTACTTTATGCAATTTTTATCTTTCGTAGGCATTGAATATTTTAGTTGGCATTAGTGATATATATATATATATATATATATAGATAGATAGATAGATAGATATAGATATATTGTCTGTGTGCATGTATGATGGGTGTGTAATAAATATGACCCGTACTTTTTAGTCCTGCACAATCTTTTCACTGCTCCAGATTATATATCCTCCACTTGCAAAACTAAATGGATGCTTGTAGGTCTGTTTTAATGTCTACAAATTTTAAATAAAGCAGTGGATGGATACTATTTTATCTTTTCTACCTAACATTTTGCTGTCATAGCTTTAAGGATGTGCCTTTGGCTGCCTTTCATGCTTACTTGACCTTCTGAAGTTCAGGGGTATTGCATGACTCAACTTTAAGCTGAATGTACATAAGGATCTATTACTTTGTTTTCTCTTTTGCTTACCCTATTGTTTAGAATTCAGAGATTTGCTTAATTGTCTTTTGCTTGCAGTGCATGCTTTGAACAAACTTCCCTATTCCAAGCTTGATTCCAAATCTGTTGGGATTAGAGATGGTGTTGTTTTCTTGACATATAGCAGTCTTATAGCTTCTTCTGAGAAGGGTCGCTCTCGATTGCAGCAGCTTGTGCAGTGGTGTGGATTAGATTATGATGGACTTATCGTGTTTGATGAGGTACCAACCATATTTTGCCGTTTTACTAGCGATCACTTTTATGATCGAGTCATAGGGCTCTTTGTTCAAGTAAAACATAACCATTTGCTGTATTTTATTACACATTGTTGATTGGAACCAGACACTCATTTTGCAATGTATATGCCTATTTGATTTAGCCTGACTGTTAGTGATTGAACAAGGCTTGCTAAATTTGAAGATCTGGCTAAAGAACCCGAAGAAATATATCAATATGAGTGTGAAATTAAAAATTTCTTGTTTTTTGGCATAATTTGCTTAATTCAAAATTATATTATAATTTAAATATTTTAGATGTAAACATAAGAATGTAATTTATTAGTAGGATACACCTTCGTGAGCTTTGGCAATATTGTTAATCAATTCCACAATGAGTATTGTTTTACCCATGCCCGCCCCCCCAAAAGTCCAATCGGGCTCAACATTTATTCAATATGTCAATCAAATGTGCTTATTGTTTAGTTTTATGGAGTTCAAATGTGGAGCTTTAAGAAGTTGTATGTATGCATTTTTAAGTTGTAACCTTAAATTGTAAGAACATGAGGTTAATGCTTGATAATATAGTAAATATATAGGATATTAATCCTTTTTCTTATGAATTGAGCTTTGAAGTCAAAACCCAACTAACCCAACATATCTGACTTGGAGGTAGGGTTTGGGAGGGTGGGAAGTACACAAACTTAACCTTTACCCCAAAGGGTAGAGCGACGGTTTCCATGAAGACTAGTGTGTGTAAAACGGTTTTGACATGAGTAATTCAAAGCTTGCCAGAAATGCTTTGGACAAAAATTTGAAGTTACCGAACCAACAATTTTTGAAAAAAACAATTTTTGAAAAGAAGCAAGACTAAATGAATGTATGCATTATATAACCAAGAGTACAATATAACATAGAAAAGGTATGAGACATTACACAACTCATATAACGTAGGACACCAATGACCTATCACACAACTCTCTAACCCTCCCAAAGTCCCACGGTCCCACCCAACCTCTCTAACTCCCTCCCTGCCTCCCTCTCGTCTACTATGCTTTATTATATCCTATTTGTGCTATGATAATAAGAGCTTATAGTATTTCGATTGAAGAAAGAAAGAAGTCTTCTCAAGCAATTGAGCAAGCACCTCTCTAACTTAACTTAGTAATCCCAGGAATGAGTTATCATATGTCTTATTTAAATCCTAATTGTTGAAGTCTAAGCAAGTAGTAGCACATCAACAAGTGCCTTAGAACCTACAAGTTCCTATACTCTAGCCTGCTATCCTAGTTTTGTGCCTCTAAGATCTTCTATTAGAGGTTATGTCCTTGAAAATGTCTAAGACTGAAAATGTCTAAGACTTCAAGTCTATCCTCAGTTTTTCATCCCACGTTCTCTTGCATTTTACCCCTCCTCCCCCTCCCTCCTTGACTGTAGGATATCCTGTCTTATCGGAGCCGCCATATGTCTGCTATAAATGTGTCCAAATCAGCTAGGGGATAAGGCTGGCAATGGGTAGGGTATGTATAGGGTGAGGGTTATTCCGTTACCCTAACTATTTAAAATGGTGGGTAACGAAACAGGTAATTATCCATGTTATAGAACTCTTATCCATATCCATTCCTACCCATTAGTATAACAGGTAATAAACGAGTAGTTGGTAAACAGTAAAAAGCTCATTTTGAATTACAAATAATATTTTTAAACACCAAATATATAAATGTAATATAAATTCATGAATATAGTAATTATTCTATATATAATTTGTTCCAATAAGCATCATTATGTTGTTCTAAATATAAATTATAATGTAATATTTAAATAACAATATGGAAATTCAAACATTTCTTTTGTTGTATTTATTTTGCCGGCCCCGTCTTGTAACTCATTTAATCATCATGAACTCTTTTACTCAATGGATAGAAACGAAAATTCGATTACAGCTACACATTAATATACGTCGTATATATGTGTGTTTATATATCTTAACGCCTAACGGTCAATAGATAACTAAAGATATCGTTATCCATGGATATAGTTTTCTTTACCCGTACCTTATCCAATGTGTTGAAACATAACGGTAACGGGTCTACCCTTACCCTTTATCTCCCTTCTCTCAATTTAAATAGTGATATGCGCAACTTCCGGCTCCCCTGTAATACCTCGGTCGGTATCCTTTCCAGCATGGTCCGATCACACCGATCACAGGTCATCTAAGCATCCATTTCTGCAACTTCCAGTTTCCTTTCATTCCTTTATCTTTTTGTGATGCCTTACTAATTTACCATTTGATATCCAAATCGCTTTCTTTTACTTTTGGTCATTAAACGTACTTTTGAGTTTTGAGTATATACTTTTGGATCAACCATCTAGTCCCAAGGTGTTTTGACCATTTGCTCATGGTAACACCATGCTTAATGTGGATTTCTGTCAAACCCTATTTTTGTGTCATCACACACATCCTTTAGTATGACCTCAAGTTCTGTGTATGTCAAAATACCCTTTGTTCCAGTTGGTATGGCCACTTATGAAGGTGGTTAGAAGCATATTTATAGGAAGTGAGCACAACTATCAAATCATAAGCTAATAGAAATCCTGAACCTTCTTGTTTGATTCTTACTAACATACTCACAACTTCTGTGCATAGTTCCAATTGTGCTACTGTCTTTATCTGCATGTCTTCTTCTAAATGAAGCTTCTGCCAATCAAATCTCTTTAATGAAAACTTTTGGGTCCTCCCAAATTGTTTTTAACAAATTTATTCAGCATACAAACTGATGACATTCATAATCACTTCTGCCTCTAGAAAGTATTGAGTAGATCTCAGCGGCTGAAGGGCCTTCTAGCCCTCAAGGCATATTAAGCAGATTTGAAGTAGCCACTTGATTGGATAAACACCCACACTGTCTAATTTTAGTATAAAAAAAGATCGGAGAAAGCAAAAAGACTCATGTCTGGCATATGACTTGCGTTTTCTTGATCCGATAATAACCAAATAAATTACATATTATGTTTGTCCGTAATGGTTATTTTCGCATAACCAAATTTGTAACAGATCTAGGACTGGATGTTTCAACTGAGTAGAATTTGGAGGCAATATGAGTTGTGTACATTTTAGTTGGAACAATAAGAACATCTTGATATGATTTGTGTACATTTGTTCATATATTGTGATATTGTTAGAATGAAACTGTGGCTAGACAAGGTTTTTGATATTTGATAAAAATATGAATTCGATTGGCAATCCAGTAACATAACTGGAAGGTGTAAGAGATTCTCTTCCCCAACCCAAAGGAGAAAAGAGACGAGGAAAAAATGTGTATCACTTAAGTGGTTTTGGATATCTCTTTACACTTTTGAGATCATTTGCTTGATTGTAGTGCCACAAGGCCAAAAATTTGGTACCTGAAGCTGGAGGACAACCAACACGAACGGGTGAAGCGGTTCTTGAAATTCAGGTTTATTCTCACACCAATCCTTAAAGCACCTGTTAATTTTAGTTCATGAAAAAACTTACCTATTATTATTGTTAACTAGCTTTGAATGTTGTCTAGAGGATTGTTATGGCAAGCATAGCACCCTCTATTTTCCTGATGGAGAAGATTAATGGCATAATTTTGTTGAAAAGGTGGTAACTAGATATCCTAAAGCGGTTCTTTGAATTCAGGTTTATTTTCACTTGAAATCCTCAAAGCACGTGCTATTTTAGTTTGTAAAGGAACTTGAAAACCCTTATCTATTATTATTGTTAATTAGCTTTGAGTGTTGTCTAGAAGGTCGTTATGGCAAGCATAGAACCCTCTGTTTTTTTATGGAGAAGCTGACATAATTCTGCTGAAAAGAAGTTGGTAACTAGATGTCCCAAGTACCTAAGAGAAAATAAAAACAAGTTGGTAACTGTTACGAAACCAGAAGTCATTCAGTCTAATGTAAATAGGCCAATAGAGTGGAAAGTGTATTATAGAAGGGCTAAAAAGGCAATTGTGGAAAGGGGCTAGAAAGTTAGTTATTAGTCTCTTTTTAAGGGAAGGGGGGATAAGTTTTGTTGGATGTCATTTAGTGTTTTCTGAGTATTGGCTCTTTGCATGTTGCATTGAGAGAGGGATTATCCCTGGATTGTTTTGTATTTCCTGCTTACTCATAATTCCGCCAGTATACTTTCCCATAAGCTCTTTCGATCATCTCTTTTATTTTTCCTTTCTTATCATTGGTCCGGCTTGCCCTGTGATCTGTTGGACACATGGAGACATGTTCTGTTCAAGCCTGTTTTGAACAACAGGATGAGCAAATTCAGCGATTGCAAGCTGATTTGTTGGAAATCAAATCGGCGATTTCTGTATTAGATCTGGATTGTGCTGAGGCCAGTGAGTTTCGTCAACTGATGCTGGGATGGATGAAACAGCAAAACCACGTTCTGCAGGGTGGTCCAGGTACGTTTTTTGGCGATTCTCCTTCGTCACCAAAGGGGGGTGCTTCTTCGGGGTTGTTTTCTAGTTCGGGTCAGACTTCTCTATCTCCTTCGGGAGGCCTTCCGTGGGCAATATAGAAAATTAAACTTCCGGAGTTTTATAGCTATGATTCTCAAGGCTGGATCCAGAAGGTTTCGCTGTATTTCGATATCAATAGTATTATTCCTCATGTTCGAGTTCGTTTAGCCCAGTTGAGCATGGTGGGAGTAGCTCAACACTGGTTTATCATTGTTAGCAGGTTCATGAATCTCTTACTTGGGATCAATTACAAGTTGAATTACTACAGAGATTTAGCGGCCTTGAAATCCAAAATCCTTTTGAGCAGTTAGCCACAATTAAACAGGCTACTTCATTTCACGACTACATTGATGATTTCAAGTATCTCTTGTCATTGGTTCCAAGATTGCCCGAGTCTTGGCATTAGGCTATTTTCTCGCGGGCTTACGTGAGGATGTCAAACGTTGGGTTCGTCTCCATCGACCTCAATCCCGATTGGATGCGATGTATCTGGCGAAATATGTAGAAGAAATGCTTCGTCCGTCATCGGTCACTGTTTCTAGGGGTGTTCAAAAAAACCGTTGGACCGCTCAAACCGGCCGAACCAAGTCAAACCGGACCGTTTTTGGCGGTTTGGTTTGGTTTGGAAAATAGTAAAATCGGGCGGTCCGGTCCGGTCCGGTCCGGTCTGCGGTTTGGAACATTTTTTGGGCGGTTTGGACCAAACCGACCGCCATATATGTATATATATAATTTAATTATTTATTTTAATATTAGCAAGTCCAACTTTTTTAACTTATGGACTATAGTTCAAATATATCGCTAAGCCCAACATAAAGTCTAACATCTAACATAAACAAAATGGATATTTAATCTAAAATTATAAATTATTATGTTTTTTTAGTTTAACATTTAAAGTCCATCAAAGGCCCAAACCGCCTAAACCGGTCAGACCAGACTGCCTTTTCATGGTCTGGTTTGACTGGTCTGGACATTTGATGTCAAACCGCTCGGTTTGAAAATTTTATAAACCGCCATTACGGTTTGGTTTGTGGTCTGAGAGGTTAAACCGGCCAAACCGGACCGCGGACACCTCTAACTGTTTCTCAATCCCATTTTCGCTATTATCATGGGGGTGGGTTGAGTGTAGGGTTTCATAGGAATCACTCTTCTCAGTTGGGCCAGCCCAATGTTTGTGGGCCTCCAATTGTACCACACGACGATAAGGCGTCTTATATAAAAAACGATGCGACTCGTTCTCCGCCTTCTCGTCCATCTGCAACGACACCATCGGAGCTCTCTCAAGTTCTGCATCGCGACTGTGGGGTTCGCTCTCTTACGCGAACGGAGTGGGAGGACCGTCGTAAGAAGGGTTTGTGTTTTCGTTGCGGTCAACAATTCGGTCCCGCGCACAAGTGTCCAGAAGGGAAATTGCGCGTCCTGCTGTTAGGAGATGATGAATACGAGATCGATGAAGGGGAATTATGTAACGTTGAAGAAGAGTCACCATCACGTTTTTCTCCAAATGAAGTTTCAGACCAGGGGTTTTTTTGTGCTTTATTGGAGTTGTTTGGAGCCTGTTCCACAATCTCTAGAGGTAAAACGTTAAAATTAGAAGGTACTATCTCTGATATACCTTTACTTATTTTGGTAGACTGGGGCAACTCATAATTTCATCTCTCAACGGTTGGTAACGTCACTGGGTTTCTCTTCAACTCAGTTTGATGGTCTCTATATTCAGCTAGGTGATGGCCATAGAGTATTCATCAATCATAGGTGTTGTCAACTGTCAATTGTGTTGGGCACTTGTTCCTTTTTGGTGGATGCCTTAGTTTTCGATACTGGAAATTTGGATATGGTATTGGGAATGGAGTGGCTACGATCCTTTGGAGAGGTCACCCATAATTGGGACCAGGCTTGGATGCGTTTTACGCATCAGGGAACCCATGTTCAACTTCAGGGATTAACTTCAGCCCATCCACCTACAGAATCACTTCAGACCTGCTTAACGGCTCCATCGGGAATGCATTCTCTTACCGGGTTCTCCTTGTTCGCGATTTCAATCGATACTCCAGGTCTGTCTTCTGTTCAATTAACTGATTTACAGAAGCTTTTAGACACCTTTTCGGCTGTTTTTCAAGCTCCAACGGGTCTTCCTCCGTCCCGAGCTCATGATCATGCTATTGTGTTGCTTTCTCCACAACCCATTAGTGTGCGTCCTTATCGTTATCCCCACATTCAGAAAGCTGAAATTGAACGTCAAGTCCGTGAGTTGCTATCCTTGGGAATGATCCGCCCAAGTAAAAGCGCTTTTTCAAGCCCGGTAATTCTAGTTCGTAAGAAGGATAATACATGGCGTATGTGTGGATTATTGCGCTCTCAATAAGGCTACCATCCTGGATAAGTTTCCAATTCCCATGGTCGAGGAACTTATGGATGAGTTATACGGTGCTCATTATTTTTTCCAAGTTGGACTTAAAGTCAGGCTATAATCAGATTCGTATGAGGCCCGATAGTGTTGAAAAAACAACATTTCGGACTCACGATGGCCATTATGAATACTTAGTCATGTCGTTTGGTTTAATGAACGCCCCTTTGACGTTTCAAGCAGTGATGAATGATGTTTTTCGGTCCTTATTACGTAAATCAGTCATCGTGTTTTTCGATGACATCCTAATCTATAGTTCAAGTTGGGAAACCCATTTAAGTGATTTGAAGGCTGTCTTGGCTCTGTTACTACATAAACATTTTGTAGTAAATAAGAATAAGTGTTCCTTTGGACAAACGACGGTGGAGTATTTGGGACACATCATTTCTCGCACCGGTGTGGCCATGGACCCAAAAAAGGTGGAAGCGGTCGTCGATTGGCCAGTTCCCAAAAATATTAAAGGGTTACGGGGATTTTTGGGGCTTACCGGATATTATCGAAAATTCGTTAAACATTATGGGAGCATCGCTCTACCTCTAACCGATCTCACAAAGAAGGACGCCTTTCTTTGGACTTCTGTTGCTCAAAGCGCTTTTGAGGCTTTGAAAGATATACATGCTCCTGTTTTGGCTCTTTCCAAATTTTAGTCTACCCTTTGTTGTCGAATGTGATGCTTTTGGGTGGGGCATCGGGGCTGTTCTCATGCAACAGGGACAACCCATCGTTTACTTCAGCAAAGCCTTAAGTGATCGCAATTTAGCAAAATCGGCGTATGAATGGGAAATAATGGCCTTAGTTTTATCCTTTCAGGATTGGCGTTCCTACTTGTTGGGTACCACCTTCATCGTCAACACTGACCAAAAGAGCCTCAAGTTTTTATTACAACAGCGCATCACTACTCCTGACCAACAGAATTGGGTGGCTAAACTCCTTGGCTACAATATTGATATTCAATACAAACCGGGTCGAGAAAGTTGAGCTGCTGATGCACTTTCTCGACGCGCCGATTATGGAGAATTTCTCCATTTATCCTCCGCTCCACTATGGCTTCAAGGGCTGATTTACTAAAGGAAGCGTGCACTGACCCAGAAATACAACGAATTACTTTGAGCTGGTTAGTCAATCCAAATTCGCACCCGGGGTACGCGGTTCGACAAGGGGTTTTGTTTTATAAGGATCATTTGGTTATCTCTCGTACCTCCATGATGATTCCTTCCTTATTACATTAATTTCACCAATCTGCGTTTGGTGGGCACTCCGGTTATTATCGTACTTACCGGAGGTTGGTGGCTAATCTATATTGGCCGGGCATGGTGGAGAGTTAAAAAGTTTATTCGTGAATGTGATACATGTCAACGATGCAAAGCCAATGCAACCTTACCTGGGGGTTTGTTACAACCGTTAGATATTTCGGAAGCCATTTGGGAACATCTTTCGATGGATTTCATCTTGGGACTGCCTAAATCAAAAGGGTTCGATGCTGTCTTACTAGTGGTCGATTGGCTATCAAAGTACAACCAATTCATTCTTCTTAAACATCCGTACACGGCCAAAAGTGTTGCTGAAATCTTTATTCGTGAAGTTGTGAGACACCACGGCATTCCCAAGTCTATCATCAGTGATCGAGATTCATTATTTCTTAGCCATTTTTGGCAAGAAATCTTTCGCTCCCAAGGTACGAAGTTGCTTATAAGTTTCGCGTATCACCCCGAGACGGACGGTCAAACGAAAGTAATTAATCGCTGTCTCGAGGCTTATTTACGTTGCTTTGCTACTGACCAGCCCCGTAATTGGTCCATGTGGCTCCCTTGGGCAAAGTTTTGGTATAATTCAACCTTTCATAGTTCAACGGGCAAATCGCTCTTTGAAGTGGTCTACGGTTGCAAACCACCTTCTGTCATTCAATTTATTCCAGGAGAGATACATGTACAAGTCGTCAGTCAAGAACTTCATGACCGTGATGAAGCTTTGAAACAACTTAAACTCCACCTAGCTCAGGCCCAAGCAGCAATGAAAGGCACATGCAGACAAAAAGCGCAGAGAGGTGGACTTTATGGAAGGAGAATGGGTATATGTTAAGTTGAAGCCATATCGCCAAATGTCAGTCACATCGCGTATTCATCAAAAACTTGCTGCTCGTTTTTTTGGGCCTTTTAAAGTCTTGGAAAAAATGGGATCGGTGGCATATCGTTTGGATTTGCCTCGCGCTTCGAAAATCCACTCCGTCTTTCTTGTTTCGCTACTTATGAAAGCAGTGCGGACAGAAAGCGATCAAGTGTTACCCCCAGAATTGGAATTAGGCAGTGCTGATCAGCTTATTCCGGTGGCAATTTTGGCTTCTCGCACAGTAAATGATTTCCATGACTCTGTTGACCAATGGCTCATTCAGTGGAAAGGTTTGCCAATCGAAGAGGCTACGTGGGAGGATGTCGCATCGATTCGGAGTCAATTTCCAGATACAAGTTTTGAGGACAAGACTTTATTCGATGGCGGGAGTAGTGTTACGAAACCAGAAGTCAATTCAGTCTAATGTGAATAGGCCAATAGAGTGGAAAGTCTACTCTAGAAGGGCTAAAAAGGCAATTGTGGAAAGTGGCTAGAAAGTTAGTTATTAGTCTCTTTTTAAGGGAAGGGGGGGATACGTTTTGTTGGATGTCATTTAGTGTTTTCTGAGTATTGGCTCTTTGCATGTTGCATTGAGAGAGGGATTATCCCTGGATTGTTTTGTATTTCAAGTTGCGGAACTATACGACTAAGGTAACATCAAATATTAATTAGAGTGAAAAAGCAAAACTCTCGAGGAGCTTCCCTTAGAGATGAGACACTTCTGTCGATGCAACAATTGGCAAAGCTTGCACATATTGTTAGAGGAAGAAAGCTAGGGCCTAGGAAATTGAACTCATCCTTGTATCTGTTCTGAATTTGTTATGTGCATGAGTTGCGGTTTGGCCAACCCAAGGCACCACCAGATAGAGGAGTGCCTGTATGTAGGGGCCGAGCTAGGATTTATTGTGATCCAGTGCATGCTAAAAGATGGGCTAGGTTGATTTCTTTAAATACATAATTGTTTTCCTTTTTGTTAGTAAATTATATATAACAATTAAACATAGAAACAAATTTTAAGTGATTAATCAATATAAAACACAACTTCAATGAAACAACTGAACATTATACGGAGTAGGGCCAAAAATTACATTATAGAAATTTGTGGGGTTAAAACTTGGCCTTATAAAAACATTTGGTTTGTATGTTCTTGGACTATACACAGTGGTATTTCAACAAATTTAGTTTATTTTGATTTTAAATATAGTGTTCTTTATTGTAAAATGTTTGGAAACAAACTAACAAAATAAAAGAGCTAGATAGTATAAATTTTAAATTTAAAAAAAGCAAATTACTTAGAAAATAGAAGAAAAGATAAAAAATAGCAAAAAATCAAAGAAGCCACCAAAAAGAAGGGTTGAACCCTTAATCTTTAGTTTGTATAAAGTTTATAACCACAAAGTACCAGCTATGCCAAGTAAAATCAAGGTTTTAAAAGGCGGAATCGTGCCTTGAGGCGGTCTGTGGCTTAACCCCCGAGGCAGAAATATATACACACATATTATAAGATCTTGGGGTTGGCTTACTACTTAGATGCTTTCAGCAGTTATCCGCTCCGCACTTGGCTACCTAGCGTACATTGGTTCAGTCGGTACGGTACAGAGATATATTAATTTCTATTTTTTCTTATCTACATAGATAATAAATATTTTTTTGAAAAAATCTTAGCAAGACCCCAAATTTTTTGTATGAATGGAACATTTTTCTATAAACCTCTATCTAATAGAAATATGCAGAAATATAAATATAGAAATACCATAACTAATTTGAAAATAGGAATATTTGGTGATTCAACAGATGACTTATCATTATTTGCTCTACGCAAAAATCAAATATGAAACTTCATACACCTTAAAGTTCATAGGACGATAAGAGAATTTTTTGAGTCCCTTATACTCAGCCTAGCATTGAATAGACTGCGTATTCACCTTATCAATATATCAAATTAATGATGAGGTCTAACAAGGGGTAGTACAGGAATATTCACTTGTTGTCGATCGACTATGCCTTTTGGCCTGATCTTAGGCCCTTACTCACCCTCCGTGGACGAACCTTGCGGAGGAATCCATTTTCTGAAAGATCCCGGCTTTAACAAAAATTCCTGATTAATGACCCATTTTGATCTAAAAAATGAGGGTTTTTGTTTGGTGAATAACTACAATTATATTGATTAGGAGGCGAGAATTGTAGATATATATATATATATATAAATATATATACCAATCTTCATTCTACTGCCACATTATACACAGAAATATGTATACGTTATACACAGAAATATATGCAATATACCTAAATATAATATGCATTCCACTGCCTCATACAAACTGGACACAAACTTTTGAAAGGAAATGCAGAAAATAAGGAGCTGCAACATAAAAGGAGGTTCTAAGAGGCCTTGTTTCATAAATTTTCAAGGATGGATTCTCATGGAGATCCCTGGTACTCGCGAAGATTTCATAATTCTACTCTGTGACATGCAGTGGATACTTAATAGGTTGCCAACATATTAAGTTAATAGGCATAGTTGATCCTTGAAAATTTTAAAATAACAATTTATAGTGTTGCTTAATTTAGTGATTATTCTCAAGAGGTTCTCTAAGAGGCCTTGTTTTCTGCTTTTCTTGACTTGCTTTTTTCGGCTTTATTTGGTAAACATTGCCTCTAAGAGGCCTTGTTTTCTGCTTTTCTYGACTTGCTTTTTTCGGCTTTATTTGGTAAACATTGCCTCTAGGCTCTAGCACTTGTAATTTTGGATAATTTGATGATTTTTTATTCTCCAAAAGATCTAAGAGGTCTTGTTTCAATTTATATCAGGCACGACTTCCTGAAGCACGTGTTGTTTACTGTTCAGCAACTGGTGCATCAGAACCCCGAAATCTGGGTTATATGGTCCGGCTTGGTCTTTGGGGAGCTGGAACTTCCTTTGAGGATTTCCGCGAATTTTTAGGTGCAAATGCCTTACCTTGAACTTTTGTGATTATCTTCAGTTGGTAGTGAAGGTTCTTTTTCAAATTTCATATATGATATAAAAAGCTGTCATGCCTCTTATGGGGGAGAAACTGTTTAGTTGATAACGTGTGATAGGGAACAGGCTATGAAGCAGAGTCATCAGTCACTAGAGTTGGTTTGTATCTGTACTGGGTATGAATTGGTGTGGCCGGGGGGATAAATGAAAATAAATAGTTAGACACTGGTTAGCTGGAGTGGGTGTGACTTTCATTACACTTCAGTGTGGTGCGTATAGCTTGGTGCAGATGTGGTATGACTTGGGATGCTTGTTGACTCATTTTTTATTTTTTAAATTCAAGTTTTAAGGTTCATAATCCTTCAAGGTCTAAAAAAGAATGCTTCATGCACACCTAAGTCAGTATGGGTGTGTACATATATATTTTCGTTCAAATACACACACATTTACTATATATTTATATTTATGTGTGTTTATGCTTGTAGTTTTAAACAGCTGAAATTCCACATTTGGCACTACAAATGATCAGGTCTTGAAAATTTACTTTATTTTTCTTCCCCTGCTCCTGTCTATTTTTCTTATCTCCTCTGTTGTTTCTGCTAGACCTTTTTCTTCCCCTTTTGTTTCTTGCTCAAGTTTCTCAATATCGCTAGAGTAATCGTTCATGATTTTGTAGGATATGCGATACAAAAGATCAACAAGTATTTTGATGCATTATACTGTTATAGGTCTAAATGATTTGATGATGTTTCTTTGTTAAGCTATTTTGTATATTTCATGACACAAGCATATACACATGTATGCCCCACACAGATTCTAGTATTTCTTGAAAATGCTGAACCTGTGTACGAGATGCGTATCACATCCGATACATGCACCGAGTAATTAATACTGGTTTTTATGCTTTTTAGGGGAAGGGTTCCCTGGTTGCATGTTCTTCTCTAATCAATATGATGTTGCTACAAAGCATGGCACAACTGTTGCTTGGTAGATATACTCGTTCTACTTACCCACATAATACTTATCCTACATACTTATAATGTAGTACTTATTGCGATTTTCCCATAAGGTTCCTATTGATGAAAAAAATGATTGAGTTATGATACATAATTTCCAAATTATAATGCCTTGAGAGTTTCACTATTTTTATGATACATAATTTCCAAATTATAATGCCTTGAGAGTTTCACTATTTCTTTCCTTGTAAAGAACATAGCGTCAAGTTCTACAGTGACAAAGAATTAGAAACCATGAAAGGTGAATCACCAAAATTTGAAAATTTCTCATCTTGTGTTAGTTGAATAACTTTTTGAATTGAGACAACATTATCTTTTCATTTGCTGGTGAAGCGAGTAGGAGACACAAAATCAATGTGCTACGTCTAAAAGTCTTGTAATTTTAGCTGCATCTTTAATGTTGTTTGTTTTCAACTTGCCATTTATGTTTACTGTCTCTGCATAAGCTGTAGTTGGGAGGCCTTGGCTGAAGAAATACGGCTTCCATGCCACACTTTGTTTGAAATTCTAAAATAAACTGTTGTGCTTAGAGATGAACTACTTAAACATGGAGATTATTTTTGGCTTCGTCAACCATCTTTATGAATGCTGTCTTGATCCATAATTTGATTTTTTTTGAAAGACAATGGTGCCAAAAATAACTTCCAATGATGATGTGAATTTTTTTGAGGACTATCTGCAGCAATATGTTTGAGGCAAGTTTAGTCAACTTCAATGTAGATCTTTCGAGTTGCAAAAGGAAACTTGCACCTAAAGGCAGCCATTATGCATGGTAGTGGTAACTGATGTTCCCAATGTGGGAGGTAGTGAGAAAAGATTTGACGGGGTAGTACAAGGAGTTAGCTTTAGGTAAGGTGTGGCAAGGAGTCTTGGGTTTACCTTTTAATGTTTGCTTTTGGGCTTGATTTCTTTATAGTCTCTTTTAGTTCCTCTTTATCCTTTCATAATTCCTTCTGAAAAAATATACATAGTTACATTTAAATAGTCTTCATCAATCCCCAAAAAAGTCAATCTTTGTTGACATGTAGTTTAAAAGAAGTCTTTGACTAAGATTGAAATACCTAAATAATGTGCCTTGTAATACTACAGAAATCATGGAGTTTGTGGATAAAAACCAATTTCACTATTACCTTGTAATGATTGCTGACGGTCACATATTTAAGTTTGGATTGGGATCTTACTGAAAAAGGAAAAGTAATTCGTTTGCAACAAGCCAAAATGGGAAGTGTTGGATTTTATGGGACAGAGGGAGTGATTCCAAGTATTGGTTAATTAAAATTTCTAATGACATCCTTTGCCCTTTCACAGATGTTTTTATACTCAACAGTTGCTGCTAACATAAATTTCAAGATTTTTAGATTTATATGCTTCCCATGCACTCTCCCTGAGTTTTGAGCTTCTGCTTATTCTTGTCAACTCTTGTCATCCAAGAGACTACTTGTTTTGATCCCAGATTCTCTCTCTCCCATCCCCTTCAATCTCCCCTCCGCCACTTCTTTTATTTCTCTTTTGTGCAAGTATATTTACTGTATCCGTTTGTTCATGATCATTATTTTATTAATCTGTGTCCTTTCTCTATGCTACTCTATAAGCAGGTGCTCTGGATAAAGGAGGAGTAGGAGCCCTAGAACTTGTTGCTATGGACATGAAAGCGAGGTTGGCAGTTGGCATATTCCATATGGCTTGTGTAATTGATTACTGTACCAATTAGGTTATTTTACCTTTCAGAGGCATGTATGTATGCCGGACTCTGAGTTATAAAGGCGCAGAATTTGAAGTTCTTGAGGTTCCACTGGAGGCCAAAATGATGGTATCAAGTAGTTCTCTGCGTCTATGCATAAGAAGTATCTACAAGATCTGCTAATGCTCTTGTGATATTTGATAACTTTCAGGAGATCTACAAAAAGGCCGCTGAATTTTGGGCTGAATTGAGGGTGGAATTGCTATCTGCAAGTGCATTCCTTGGTGATGAGAAGCCTAGTTCCAGTCAGTTGTGGAGACTATACTGGGCGAGCCATCAGGTTTGCCAATTCACGTTTGTTACTTATTCAGATATTACTAGATCCTATGCGGTTGCTTTAATTTGTTCATATGTTTTGTTGCTTCTGTTATATTCTAGCGATTCTTTAGGTATGTCTGCATGTCCGCAAAGGTGCCTGCTGTTGTAGGCCTTGCCAAGCAGGCACTGATGGAGAACAAGTGTGTGGTCATTGGTCTTCAGAGTACAGGGGAGGCAAGAACAGAGGATGCAGTCACAAGATATGTGAGTGTGTTTTCTTTTTGCATGTTAAACCTACGATGCATGCATTCTAATGTATATTTATTTTTCAATCAATACCTCACTTTATAGGGCATTGAACTTGATGATTTTATTTCTGGACCTCGCGAGCTGTTGCTTAAATTTGTTGAAGAAAACTATCCTTTGCCAGAAAAGCCTGAATCTCTCCCAGGTGTTCATCGGCTTATGTGTTGTGGTGTCTGTAATTTATTATCCAATGTCGCTGATAGGAGTTGCATTTTATCTTCTGGCAGGAGAGGATAGTGTGAAGGAACTTCAGCGCAAGAGGCACTCAGCAACACCTGATGTTTCATTTAAAGGGAGGGTCAGGAAAGCTGCAAGATGGAAAGCTGCAAGTGATGATGAGAGTGATGAAGAATCTGAATGTAAGTTGTGCAAGAAGACTGCCTTATTTTCTTCATTAATTATATATTCTTTGATTTTCCTCCTGCATAAGTTGTGTGACATCAATGTATTTCTCATTCATTGATGAAATAAGTCCAAATAAGATGTCTTTTAGTTCATGTGCTTGTGTTGAATTACTGCTTTAACTAATGTATTTCTAATTTACTGTTCAACCAAGTAGCTGATTCTGGCCGTGAATCTGTGGAATCTGATGACGAATTTCAGATATGCAACATATGCAATTCAGAAGCGGTATATGCGCCTCTCTTTGGTGTTGATATGTTAACCTGTTTTTGATTCTTATTGTTGGTACATTATTTATCTTTTCATGTAGGAAAGAAAGAAATTGCTCCAGTGCTCATGTTGTGGTCAACTTGTACATCCAGCATGTGTAGTCCCACCAGTAACCGATGCAATATCTGCCAATTGGTCTTGTCATTCATGCACGGAAAAAACAGAGGAGTATCTCCAAGCAAGACATATATATGTAGCAGAGTTACTACGAAGGTGTGATTATATAAGTCTATCACTTGCTTTCTTCTCTCTGTTGCTTATTTTATGTTTCTATATTTGCTTTCTCAGCTAGTTTTTCTACACCATCTTGAAGTAACCTTCATTTTGTCTGCTATGTTAAATGTGTTAGATATGAAGGAGCCATAGAGCGTAAAGCAAAGATTTTGGACATAATTCGTACTTTTGACCTTCCAAACAATCCATTGGATGACATTATTGATCAGGTATTTATTGAATGATGTTTTGCTACATGTATGGTTGTGTATGTACATATATTGTTATTGTGATATTTCTTTTTATTCACTTTCTACTCATTTTTTGGTTCTAGTATCCTATATTTTCATGCTTTTCTGCTCTCTTTTTTAATTGCAGCTTGGAGGCCCTGATAATGTTGCAGAAATAACAGGGAGGCGAGGTATGCTTGTTAGGGCCTCCAGTGGAAAAGGAGTCACTTATCAGGCACGAAACACGTGAGTTTATGCTAGGTTACTGGTAACATAATATTTGGTTTGCTTTTCGGAAGCTGATGCACCCTTCTATGCTAATACAGGAAGGATGTGACTATGGAAATGGTCAACATGCACGAGAAACAACTCTTCATGGATGGTAAGAAACTGGTCGCCATCATTTCTGAAGCTGGATCAGCAGGTGTGTCTTTGCAGGCTGATAGAAGGGCACTGAACCAGGTAAATACATATCTAATTTATGAGGACTTTGTAATCATATACCCTAGACTTGCGTAGCTGTTTGGGCCAATACATGAGTTGGGAAGAGAGCTCCTAGTCATTCATCTAGATTTCTAAGAGGGTTGTGGTCCATCCTTTGTGCCTGGCCATTGTTGTGATTTGTTAGCACCATGTGGGCTTATTGTCCTAACTACTGATGACTATTGCAAACTGCCAGGAATGGTCAGTACGGTCCACTCGTGTAAGGTTCTATGGAGCTATTCCTGGTCTATTGATGCTTTTGTATCACCTATAAGATGTAGTCCTATCCGAGTTGCAGGAATGCATGCTCAATGGAGCAATGACCCTTATAGGAGCTAGGGCAGCATATTGCTTGCAGTGAGAATTCTCTTTGCATGGTTAATGTGATGGTACTGAAACGTTATTTTCCTACAATTTGGATTCTTTGCATGACAGTGTAACATTTGCATTGCAAGAGCATCCGAGTGAATAGGAGGACATATAATGTTGCAGTCACTAGACTTCTTTGATATGCTTTTTTACATATCAGATATAAATATTTTAGGGCATCAAAACACAGTTCACAGCATGAAAATAGCATGTGAGTGCATTAGGCTTATTAAGATTTCTTACAAGATTGCTTAGGTTTTGTATAGCAACTTGTGTATTGTGGACCTTCATCATAATGTAGAAATGGACCCAACAATTACAATTAATACCTAATAGGCCTCATGTGTCACCTCTGAGTCCATGCTCACGTTTTAAGAGCCATAAATAAGTGCATCAATGCGCAGAGCGAATCAATGTGCAGAGCGAATTGAATTTTCCCAACAAACCGGAGAAAGAAACATTTGCTAGTTGGCTTGCACTAGTGAACTTACTAAATCATTTCCTCTTTAACACCTGGGATCACCAGCTCTTCTAGAAGTTTGAGCTTTAACATAGAGTGGTTATATTAATATCAAACTTTAACGGCATCTTTCAAATGTTTTGTACCAGAAAAGAAGGGTCCATGTAACTTTAGAACTACCTTGGAGTGCTGATCGTGCAATTCAGCAATTTGGGAGGACTCATCGTTCAAATCAAGCTTCTGCACCCGAGTACAGGTAGATATGGTTTTGTACTACTACTACTACTACTACTACTTTGTAGGTATCATGGTTAAATTTTGATTTGTATTGTTCTTGTAACTAGCAAGGATGCCAATATGGACTGGTATATTGCAAAAGTCTCATATGAACTTACAGCCTAGGGACTTTGTGCAGTTCTCCACTGTAGGATAAATTAAATGATTACTGTACAGCATGTGGATGGCTGGATTGTTGTTCGTCATTAAGTTCATGTTGTATAAGTGTGAATATTAGGTTTCGAAGCGTTATAAAATAGAATTCAAGCCATCGTTTCTTTCTTCTCGATGCCATATAATTGTAAAAAGTGTGTGTGACTAGAAACTCTTTCTTTTTTCTACTATCTTGACTCATGTGGGAACATATTAAGCTATCCATTATACTGTATAGGTTACTGTTCACAAATCTTGGAGGTGAACGCCGGTTTGCTTCAATTGTTGCGAAGAGACTAGAGTCTCTCGGAGCCTTAACACAGGGGGATCGGCGGTAAGTTAAAATTTCTATGTATAGTAGTTGAAGCTTTTTATTTCTGTTCAGTGGCCTGCACCAGAAAGAAGCACCTGTAGATTGATAACTGTTTTTTTCTCTTTACGATATTTCAGGGCTGGACCATCTCTTAGTGCCTATAATTATGATAGTTCTTATGGGAAAAAGGCCTTGCTGATGATGTACAGGGGAATTATGGAGCAGGTTTATATTTTTTTTTCCTGGTCATTCTATGTCACCTTATGTGGGACCCGTTTAAAGCAACCATAATCTTGTCTCTCAGGATTCTCTTCCAGTTGTGCCGCCAAACTGTTCATCTGAAAATTCTGCTACAATCCGAGATTTTATTGAGAAGGCCAAAGCTGCTCTTGTTTCTGTTGGCATAGTTAGAGACACAGTTGTTGGTATTTTAATCAGTTCATTTTGTAGTTCTTACTGTATTTGTTTTAATGCGCCTGTCACATTAGTATATTTACCCATATTTTTGTAGTGCTATTCCAGTCAGTTTCTTGTTGCATCATTTGCTATAGGTAATGGCAAAGATTCTGGCAAGTTCTCTGGCCGCATAGTTGATTCAGATATGCACGATGTGGGGCGTTTTCTGAATCGGCTTTTAGGACTGCCACCTGAGATCCAAAACAGGTTATGCATTTTATTATCTACTCTCTGGGTTTTCTGCCTTGACTTGTGGTGTTTAATAGCACTAGTAATAAATTGCAGGCTCTTTGAGTTGTTTGTTAGCATCCTTGATCATCTTCTTCAAAATGCACGCTTTGAAGGACAATTAGATACTGGGATTGTTGATATGAAAGCTAACACTATTGAGCTACAAGGAACTCCAAAGGTTACACTTTGTGAATTCTTCTGATTTGCACATGGTAACATGTATGTTAACTTCCATCTTTTGGCAGACTGTTCATAGCGATCATATGTCTGGGGCATCCACTGTGCTATTTACGTTTGTTATGGATCGTGGCATTACTTGGGAGGTATGAATTTTCTTTATCGAATTGCACAGTGATTATCTGTGTAGTCTTTTTAGCTTATGTGATCTCTTTATGTTTTAATAGGCTGCATCTGCATTGCTCAGTGAGAAGCAAAGAGACGTGTCAGGTTCTTCTGCTAATGGATTTTATGAATCTAAGAGAGAATGGCTTGGAAGAAGGCACTTTCTTTTGGCAATCGAAGGGTATCAAAGTTTGGTCTAATTATCTTCACTTTGGTATTGTGAACCAAGTTGGTTAGAATTGATATTATGACATTATTACTTTCAATAATGGACTTCCAAAGTAACAGACATGGCAGTCATGCATCACCTAGCCTCTATGAAACTTGCTGTTTTGATTAGATACTCTCACACTCATATACAAACTCACTCCCAGGTTGATATATCATATTTTTAAGCCGTTAACAGTTTATCTCAATAAGCGTAGATTTTGAATCCAATAACCTGGAACAAGTAATTGATTTTAAGATTATCTTTTATTCTCTCTTTAGTCTATTAACAACATTGTTGAAGTCAAAAGAGCTAATTAGACTTCTATCTCCACTGACAAGTCAAAACCTAAAATTTAACCAAATTTCCACAATTTGATACGATGGTGAAAGCCTTGTTATGGACCTATCTTTTAGCTCTTCAGCTTAAAAGAAAACATTCCAGATAGGAAAAGGAAAATAAGTCAGCAGAATAACAACAGAAGGAAATGAACAATTAAAATTGTTGTTACGAAACTGACTTGTCATAATTGATAATGTCGCTCAACAAGCTTTTGAAAGTATGACCTAGAGGGGTGATGAATAGGTTCGTAGTTATGAAGTTGATTGTATGAGTGGGTGTGCACAACCAAAGTACATGTACTTTAGGCACAAGTTGTACAATGCATAAAATAAGGGAGTAGATAAAAGGGAGAGTCTAGCAGAGAGACACGTGCTTGGGTCATGCCCATTGCCCAAGCTCGGGCTGTTTCGATGTCTACTATCCAAGCTCGTGTCTAGATTTGTTTACTAGTAAATAACCCTTTTCCCAGTGGAGAAATGTTTACAAAGAATCTTGGCTTCCTTGGCTAGATTTGGTGGGACTACGAGGCGTGATCTTGTGTTAGCCATCCATGAATACCTGAGTCTAGTCGCTGAAGCTAGCAAGATAAAATATATCAACTCAGTAACCAATTGGAACCTACGATTACCTCAGCCCTACTACTTGCCACCAAAGCGCAAAACTCCTCGGAGCCGTAACAGCACACATTGAGTCTGAATGATGTGTTACCAATATGCTTCTTGATAAGTGGATTATATAACATGAAGCTCTATAGACAGGTGCCTTTTTCAAGATGTAAGAGATCAAACTTATATATTCATGATCTATACTCACGTGTGTATTTTCTCTTCTCACTGTTAACCTTTTGCAGTATGTTTATATTCTTGGAATAAAGCAAGCTTAAGAAATATAGCATTATTCTATGACCTTACCTCTGTGTGGAATGTACATTTGTTCGTTAGGTTCAGTTTGGTTAAGAAATATAGCATTGTTCTTCACTAAGATGAACTCCTATGTCTTTCAGTTCTTCTGGAATGTTTAAGATATTCCGCCCTGCTGTTGGGGAAGCACTCAGGTATAGAAAGTCACAAACCTCAGTGACCATTGCTCAAGCTTACTTATCACATCCCTTGACTATGTTGTCCTTGATGGTGGTAGCCTGGTTTGTTTCTAATAGTTGGCTGTGCATTTTGTTCTTTCAACTTTCAGAGAGATGTCAACTGCTGAGCTGAAGGACAAATACAGAAAGACGTCATTAGAAAAAGCTCACAGTGGATGGAAGGATGAATATGAAGTTTCATCCAAGCAGGTATAATATACTCACGAGTCACGAATGTCATAGCTGCAAGTTATTAGAATTCCATTTTCTTCACTTTTCCTGTTTACTATTATTAGTCCTGTATAATAAGTGGTTAATATTATTATTAGTTACTCGTTGATGGAAGAAAAAGGTCCAGGGTGGTGGTCTTATTCTGGATAATAATCTGCCAATTATTATTATTGCTTCATAATGCAATATATGTCACAAATTTGCTCCCAGGAAGTTTACTAAGGTCATGCTTCTCTTAAATGGAGCTATTATGCTGATTATGGTTCATCTCTACTGCCATCACTAGTCAAGATCTTTCTTTCGATGCTTATTGAGGTTTTTGTCTGTGTTACTCGTGTTGGCGTATCACTGTATCTTGTGTGATTTTTGGCAAACTCGTGAATCTTTCCTTTATGTAACAGCTGTGTTTATTTTAGCAGCATTGCCCTTATCATCCAGGTTAGATACATCATACATTTATGCAACATTCTGCTTTTTTTTTTCTGCCAACGTTCCCTGACATAAAAATAAACTTGGCCATTCCTGCACTTGATGTCAACGATCATTATATGCCATCTCCCAGGTTTTCCTTGTGTGGTTGTTAATGCAATGGGGTTATGCATGTTGGTTAAGCTTGTTCGAATTTGTATCTCTAGGATTCAGGACACATTAAGTGGATGCATGCTGGTATCTGAAAACCTTATTCATATTGTCAAGTATATGAAGAATGTGACACTTCTAAATGAACCATATACTGGGACTTTTTGGCTTTTTGTCTTTTTCTGACATACACTTGGTCGTTTGTGATAACTGGAACTTTCTTATACATTAATAGTAATGCATTTGTGGACAGCTTTATTGACCGGGTTTTTTTTTATCTGATCTAATCTACAGTGCATGCATGGTCCAAATTGTAAGCTTGGAAGCTTTTGTACTGTTGGCAGAAGAATACAGGAAGTAAATGTACTCGGTGGTCTTATTCTCCCAATTTGGGGAACAATTGAGAAGGCCCTATCGAAACAGGTATACAAGTTTAATTCCTTGATGAATTGCCATGTATACTATGTTATAATGATTGCTGATTTATCTGTACTGCTTTACATATAGTTACCTTACTGGATACTCTTTCAAAAATATCGCCCTTTATTATGAAATAAGGCAACATTTGCGTTTGTTATGGTGCTGTCCAGTCTCCTATACTTGGTGTGTTACATGTGTATGGGTGCATGTTCTACTTGTAATTATGGTTATTTTATGCTTATCATTCAGTAGTCCTAAGTTTCAGCTATATTGAATACAGGCCCGCCAAAGCCATAGACGACTACGTGTTGTGCGCATCGAGACAACAACAGATAATCAGCGAATTGTTGGGCTTCTTGTTCCAAGTGCAGTAGTAGGATCTGTGCTTCAAGGTCTCTCTCTCTCTCTCTCTCTCTCTCTCTCAAACAAACACATATGTACACAAACATGATACTATGTTTATTATTCATTAAACATACCTCCTCCTATCACATAACTAAAAAGTTCTCTCGTTTTTGTTTGATGACATAGAAAAGAGTGTCCTGATTTTTTTTGCCAACTAAGCATCACTTACTTGTATATCTTTATGGTATTAAGTTGCAATTTGGGATACTCGAGTCTCGATTGAATTACTAAATCTGATCATGCCCTGACCTTTATGACAGACTTAGCATGGGTTCAAGACATCGATGACTGAGATAGACTTTGCTAGACCATTTTTCTGATATCAATGATGGATAATAGGTATTATATATTTTTGTTATATTCCATCAAAGATACCGAAGGAAGTACATGTTCCAGACTGGTATGTTTCAAAGGAAATAGGCCAAGGTACAGCAGCCAACCGAGCATTGCCAGTCTTTTGCAGTTGATAAATTGATGTTTGATATTTTCTGCTTCATTCTTTGCACTCAGTATCGCTTTTTTGTAATTATTCAAGTGGCAAAAACAGAGAGAAGCATTACGATTTATAGGTGTGAGTGTAAAAACCATCTTATATAGCTTTATGTTGATATTTCCAAGCAAATTCATATGATTAACATTTTATTTTAAGCTCGGCATCTTACTTTCTTAAAGCAACAGCAAGTGCTGGAAAGAAAGAAGCTTTTATTGTCATGTCCGGATGGATTTGTACCCTGTATTCCTGCGTTCAAAACAAATGGTCAAAATTTTATATTAGTACCGGAGTCTTGAAAGCGAGTGGGCCATTTTACATTTATGTTAATAAAATACTATTTCTTGGAAGGGAACCAGTTACAAAAGGAAAGTCTGGTTTTAGGGGCCGTTTACTAAAGGCTTACCTGGGTAAGCGTTTATCAAGTCCTATTACCTTATTCGGGTGAGTATGACAAGGATCTAGAATCTTACCTGGTAAGAGCGAGGAAATAATTGAGTCTTACCCGGTAAGTGAAGGGGACGACTCTTACCATGGGTAACACTTACCGGAAATTACATACATTACTGTTTTTGTTGACTAGAATTTTACCCGGTAGGTAAGTGATAGTGTTAAATTTTACCGGTAAATGTTTATCGGGTAAGTGTGATAAATGGCCTCTTATAATTGCTTGGTCTGTATCGATTTAAACGCTTATGGTGCCTTCTTGAGAAGAACTTTTAATTGTTGGGCTAATCTTTTTGAACTTTTAAATGCTTTTCTTACTTTTTGAAATTTAGTTTATGGGATACCCAGTCCTTGATGATAGTGGATTTCTGCCTGTAATGGATCTCTGTGTCCCGAGTGACGAGTGCTAGGCGTCCAATCATAACTTGGTGTCCCGAGAATTCCATAAGCTTTAACAAAAATGTTTCAGAATGTTAATGCATGAACGTATATCACATGACAAAAGGTATGAATGTAATCATCATAATTTTGCATCTTTCATAGTTTTTGCAATAGTCATAAAAACTAACTTGAATGGCATTGTCACATAAATTTATCCTACAATTGTTAATAATCCTACTAAATAATTGGACCACTAGGTATTCATGTCTAAGACCATCCCCGTCAAATCCCTGGGCATCAAAAGAAAAACAAAAAAAAAAAAGTTATAGGAAACTTGATTGAAGCTCCCAATTGATAAAAGACATTAAATTCCCACATCGTCAAGAAGGAGTGCATGAAAAATAAAATCTTTTGTGATTTGTATAACCAAAAGTCTTGGGCTTATCCGATATTATAACTACCAGATTAGAGGAAAAATTGCCTTTCATAGAAAAGGCAATAAGAAGGAAAAATAACACAAGTGGTCTGAAACATAAACTTTTTTCTTGTTGAAAATTCATCCATATATGGATTCATCTTTAACAAGTATTTATCTTCCATTATCAATGTCAGATCTGTTTGGACTTGTGACAAGTTGAATTCTCATGTATTTAGGGTTTAGGGTTGGGGGGGATAGAGTTTTGGGTTTATGGTTTCGGGTTTAGGGGTTGTGTGTTGGGGAATATGATTTATGGGTTAGGGGTTTAAGGTTCATGGGTTAAGGTTTAGGGTTTATGTGATATGGGTTTAGGGGGTAAGAGTTAGGGATCAGAGGTTATGGGTTAGTCTTTAGGGGTTAGGGGGTAGTAGTGATGGTGATTTTTTTTTTTGGGTAAAGGGGACGGAACCCCGGAAAAATTTATTCAAAAATTAAAACAAGACAAGCTACGAGGGGCATATCCCAAGGAAAACAAAAACTAAGTGCCTTCCAAGAAAATGTTTAGGAAGGACACTTAACAGAGGTCTAGAACTAAAAACCATGTTAGCAAAATTGAGCCAACAATCCCAAGCAAAAATACAAGCCAAACAATAAATGAAAGTGATGGCCCAAGGCAAGGAAATAGGCGTATCCCACCGGCATCCAACAACATCCCTATCATTGCAGCCCATAATAGCTTTCCGCTTCCACTCCATATCCTCAAGCCCAATTAAAGCAAAAGAACTCCAAAGAATAGAATAAATGGCCCAATTACAAAACAACTTGAAGCCCAGAATAAAATCCATCATGTAGTTGATATTCCTCATCCAGCCCATGTCCACAAGCCCAAGATAGTTAAAGGAACACCAACAATTTAAATAGGCAGCCCAAATAAAGATCACCTTGAAGCCCAAATGCCTACCAATCTCATGGTCCATCAATTTAGAATTGGAATTACCCAGCTTATCACAAAAACAGCCCCTCCAGCCACGCGACCAGAGTCTGCTTTCGAGCATCGACTCCTTCGAAGAGGACACCCTCCCAGACCGATTGAAGCATGAAGCAACATTCGAAGCAGCACCCGTCTTCTTCAAAGAGGACCACACAAACTCCATTCTCCACATAAAACCCAAAACAACCCCTAGGGTTTGGAAGTAGATGCCACGAGTGAAAGAATAGTGATGGTGATTTGCCCCGACCCGGTGGGGAACCCGGTTCACCCGACCTGAACAGGGACTAAGATTCCCTGCTAAAACGGGTCTCGGGGCCGGGGATCTCCGATAGGCTCAAACCGGGGTCGGGGATCCCCGGTAGAATCAAACTAGGGGATGTTCTTCATGGGGTTTGACTGGGGATTGATAGAGGTTTTGACCGGGGATGGGATGTTAATCTCCGTACCCATCGGGGACCAGGGCCGTGGGATTTTACTACAAACCGGTGCCGTGGCTAGGGATTACAAAACCCGCCCCCATCCTCGCCCCATTGCCATCCTTCTCATTAACCGCAAAGAACCAAAGCAAAATCCATTCCTCATGAACAGAGGTCGAAGATTTGGACACCTTTGGATAGGAAAACGATTCTTCCTTGTTTTCCTATGCAAAGATTTCTTCAAAGGAAGATAACGATCCTCCATGAACAAAGAGCAACTGAGAAAAACCCAAAAACACACAAGAAAGCTAGAGAGAAAAATCCTAGAGAGAGAAAGAAGAGAGAGGGGGAAACTTGGGTTTGGGGTTTAGGGTTTTTTTTGGATAAAAGGGACGGAACCCCCGGAAAATTTTTATTCAAAGAAAGAAAGAAAGACAATTACGAGGGGCATACCCCAAGGAAAAAGGAAAAGTGCATCCCAAGAACATGTTTGGGAAAAACACAAAGCAAAGGCCTATTTCTAGAGTTTAACATAGCTTTACACAACCAACAAGCCCAAGTATAAAACCAATCCAAACGCTTTAAGGAGGAGAAAGCCCAACTTCCGAAACTTGGACCATCATAATAAGGCCTAGAAACAACCAGATCTTTGTTACCTATGTAGTAGACATCCTTTAGCCAGGCCCAATCGCATGTATCCATAACAACAATATCCATGTGAGATTTGGAGTTAAAACAGGCCCAACTATCCTTCTCAATATTAAGATCCATATAGCCCAAATTCTTTTTCGGAGCCCAAGCCCAAAAATCACAATCGATGGAGACCTCAATGTCTTCCCCAAGCAGAGTCCACATTGTCTTCCTCCAACAACATATCTCCAAGCAATTCATCAGACGACAAGGAACAATACACAGAAGACAAAGCCCTCGGCTTTCCTCGACATAGAAACATAACCAGCTCCTCATCTCCAATTTCTTCCAACCACCATTCCACCGCCTCATCCAGCAATCGATCGTCCCATCTAGATCTTGAATCGTACCCAAATCGTCGATGAAACCCTCTTGCCGGGTGCGATTGCAGGGTTTTGAAACCCTAGGCTTCGGCATTAAACCCAATTCGCCTAGACTCCCCTCTTCCCTAATCTGCAATCGACCGAAGGTTTCCAGATTATATTCCAACACCCTCCATGCCTATAGATACAAAGCCATCGGCTTCTCCCATCAAGAACCTTAGAAGGTCCAAACAGGTACAGATTGCAGGATGACCGATACAGAGAACTTCTTTGAGATAAAAGCCACCATTTCCATCTTTGAGTGTTAATTGGCATCCAAAAAATTGGATACCAAACTTCATCTAAAGTCAACAAAACAATCATTTTTAAGGATTGGAAATTTGTTTTGCGAATGATTCCTTGAAGATGCAGCATAGGATAGATGGTTGGCTGCATCAATTGAACAGATAGATAAACAAGATCCATGATAATACCAAAACCTTTTTCATTGTAGGAACCCAGGCCTTCGAAACTACTCTTCCACTCGTCATTATAAAAACTAACACCTAGAACACACCTGAACTCGAAGGCTTTACTTTGCATAAAGTACCAGATACTATCAGAACAGGAAATTCCAGTTTTGGTCCATACAGAAATAGACCAGAAACCAATGGTCGAGTCTCTGCCTTTCCTTCCAAAACTGTTCCACAGAAAAGATATGAGGCTAAGCACTTCCAACCCCACAGGTAAAGATAGCAAATAGCCCATAACACCCAAACTCTTTGAGAAAAGGAAATTGAAGCTCATAATTGAACTACCATAGAGCATAGTCCAAAACACCCATAAAAAATGTAACCCCATGTTGGCCAAGACTAAAAGAAAAACAAAGAACCATTTTCTTTTAGAATTGGTAATATCAAGAGACCTACAACTACCTATCCCCTTCAACCCAGAAATGTTAAGAGACACATTTTCAATCATGCACATCAAATAGCCCCCATACAACAAGTTAAAAAGATCCCATTGGCTCAACCAAACCTCCAAAAAGACCTCCTTATGGCTCCTCAACAAGATCAAGTAAAATCCTATCTCCTCTACCCTGCTCCCCCTTATTTCATCAACCCAAGACCCAGACCCCAAAATCCCAAGATCAAAATTTAATAGGTATCTGCAGGCCATTCTTATGGCCCTTTTACCAATGAAGCAAAAAACAAAGACTGGCAATAAGGTGGAATAATTGAACAACCACCAAATTGCATTATTAGGAGCAGACAAATTGAAAAGGGAGAACCAAAACACACACACCCATAGAGAGAAAAATATATGCATAATAAACCACGCAGCAGCAGTATGTAAACAGACCCTCAACACAGGAGAAAGGATCCTAAACATCATCCATCCTCTTTTCTCACAACTGTACCTCCCACACCCCCAATACACAGGAAAAGAAAACAAATCTAAAAGAGAAACAAAAAACCATTCTCTTTTAGGTTTGGTGACACCAAAAAGACTGTGATTTCCCACCATCCTC